AGAGAAAGAGACAGAGGTAAAAAAAGAAAAAAAGGAAAAAAAAGGAAAAAGTAGATCACAGACTTGTGTTTCCGTCTTTCTTTAAGATAAATGGCCAGAGTGCAATCTTAAAATCATAAGCATAAGAAAAAGAGTAATAATAAGAATCAAGCAAGGGCAGCGTAAGGATACCGTTCGGGAAGCGCGTCTCGATGGAAACCCAAAAATATGAGAGATCCACTCTCAACAGTCAATAGTCCAGAGGCTGAAAGACTTTGGAAATAGAGTAGCCAACTTAAAAAATGTGAAGAGGCCGGGCGCGACACGCGAGGAGTGACCGCGTTGGTACCAAAGAGATGAACCGAGTACGACAGCGAGGCGATGAAAGGGACATTCCACGTTGCGGATCGGATGTGCAAAGTGGATTGTTTCGGGTGGGCCAGTGACAGGCGAGAATGATCCACAAGGATAAGTGTGATAAGCCTGTGGCGATGATGACCAGTCTACTCTGTAGAAAATTGCGATACGTACGTCGTCCAGAGTTGTCGTTCAATCATACATAAGGACACGATAACATGAAGAGGCGGGGGGGGGAAGAGAGGGCGAAAATGCTGACGAGGGGTAGTCGACTTGCAGAGCCAAAGTCCTGATCAAAATTAACAACTTAGTTCCTTCGCCTTTTTCAACCCCTGCAGCAAAGGTTCTTTTAGTCCCAAACACTTTGATTCGCCCATGACTGTACGACGGTCCTCAGTCGCACTGCTACATGCTGATGTACTACTACTACACATGGAGTACCTGTAGTACTACTGTTATGGAGTGACTCTAATCTTGTCCCACTGGATGCGATTGGGGGTATATTTTGATTCGAATTGATTTTCCATTGATTCTTTTCCATTTTGCTTTTTCTAACCTCCGCGTCATGTCATAGATAATGCTAATCATGCTTATTCTTTCTTATTATCTCGGGAGTGGCGTCTCGTGCCCATGGTTGCCGAGAGCAATTTAAAACCCTGAGTCCGAACAGTAGTTGCCCCGGTCAAGGAACCGGTCACGGAGGAATTTTGGTTCCCTTTACAAGGAGATTTGAAACGGATCCTGTCTATCTCCGTATGGAGAACCGACACAGAGTATCCAGATCGCCGAGATACATAGCGTAAGGCACTTCCCCAGGCTTTGCATATGTACTTTGGTACTTTTGTACTTGGTTAGGACGATCATAGAGGAAGTACAGAGTGCCTTACAGATATATGTACATGCCACATCGCTATTCTAGTCGCGTAGTCTCACATTAACTGTTTTTAATTTTTAAATTTTTATTTATTCGGCTGTTCTTTTTTTTTTTTTTTTTTTTTTTCATCCGCTTCTGTCGCTATCTTTACATAGTTCGGTTGAAGCTTCTGCGGATGACGAAAGAGGATCTGGGTTGAAGAAACCCGGGCGAGCGTATGATATCAAATCTCAATCTCAATATACTGGTACGGTACCTGTTGATGTGGACGGAGGGGTTACGGACGGGTATGGTACCGTATGGGACCTAGTTTAGCCCATCCATTGGCACTTATGATGTTACTTCCATGAAGCAAACAACAAGACAAAGAAAGAGAGAAAGGAAAAGGGAAGAGCCAGGGAGGCTGAGTCATCGGATGACATAACCGCTTGCCCCAGAGAGTATCTCCGTTCACGACGTCATCGTTGAACATTCTCTTCATAATGACGGGAAAAGCGAACAATACAAAATGAGGGAAAGAAAAGAATCGAACAGGAATTCCCGGTTTGGTTTGTCAATTGAATTATGATCACCGTCGATGAGGTAGGTCGCGGAACGGGACCTTCTTTGGGATCTCTGGCCTCGTCTCATCTGATCTCTTTTAAAGAAGATGTTACCTTCAACCTCAGCCTCCGTCACTGTTTTCCCCACCATTGATTTCTGTCCTCTGATTCCCTCATTAACTTCGCTTCCATCCTCCGTCGTCGCATTTTAAGAATTAAGTGCCCCGTTCCCTTGACTACTACACTGCTTAGGGAACCCTTTACAGTCTCTTTTTCTTTTTCTTATTTTTTTTCTTTCTTCTTCTACTTTCTCTCTTAATCTTTCCTCAAACATTTTATTGTGATTTATCACTCATTCCGGGGATATACTCTGACCACTGGAAACGTGACCAGAAGTTGTTTGCCCTTTTTGTTACCCACTGACGCCAGCCCAGACTTCGGCGGGGTAGGAAAAGAAAGTTGGAAAGAAGAAAAAAAAAAGAAAGGAAAATAAAAAAAAAAGAAAGTGGAAAAGGAGAATTTAATTAAAGAGAGGAACAGAACAGAGGAAAGGCTAAAAATTTCACTACTGAAGTGAGGAAAATACGAACATCCTACTAGTATTTCCCTCCCCCCACCGGCCGAAACTACTACCATCATCACCAACGTCATTCGACCCGATATTCTCTCATCATCATTATTTTTTTTGCCTCCCTTGTCCGATTTCCCATTCCTTTAACTTGTGTCCTCCTTCCCCGCGCCCGCCTCTCCTCTTTCCACCCCCACTCCCTTACTTCTTTTCTCCCTTCTCATTTCTTTTCTATCTTTTTTGGACAGAATTGATTACTCAGCACCATGAGTACCATTCAAAATTTGAAGAATTTCATACGTCATGGGAAACAAGCCCGCTTGGTAACTCCCCATGCCGAGCCAACCACCAATGTTTCTCCCATACATGCCGAGCATCAACGTCAACCCCAAGGCTCGTACCCTCCTGCCGCAGGTAACCTAGATGCCATTGACAGCAGGCTTGGGAACGGTCAAGCTCAAGCACCTCAAAAGTCGGCAGCGGACTCGCAGACCAAGCGTGTCCGTGATTTAGAGATCGAGCAGATTGTCGCCGAGGAGAGAAGCCAACGAAACAAAATGCCCAAGTATCCAGGACTGGAGCGCTGGATCTTGACGGACAAGATGGGCGACGGCGCCTTCAGTAACGTCTATCGCGCTAAAGATTCGACGGGGGAATATAACGAAGTAGCCATTAAAGTCGTCCGCAAGTTTGAAATGAATAGCAATCAGGTAGGTAGGCTGATTTGAACTTAATCCCTTGTTGTTCTCCCAATACCACTCCCCGCCTCGTTCCCATCTACCCTCATCCGCTCAGAGTTATACTCGTTCTCTCTTCTTGTACGCTTAAACCGAACCATTCGCCATCTCTCTTAGTCTGCCGCCCATCTGCATCCCGAGGTCAAACACACCAAGGTTACGGAGGTGCGCAAATCTCTTAGCCACACCATACTGACACGAAAGTGTCTTATTTCCTGTTACGTCTTGATTCTCCTTCGTGTTTTCTATTTCTTACCGAGCAAGTTCTCATAGGGTAGGTTTGCTGATTGCGATTCACAGCGCGCCAACATTTTGAAAGAAGTCCAAATTATGCGCCAAATAGACCATCCGAACATCGTCAAGTTGATCTCCTTTTCTGAATCACGCCAATACTACTATATCATTCTGGAACTCTGCCCTGGCGGCGAATTATTCCATCAAATCGTACGGTTAACCTACTTTAGCGAGGACCTAAGTCGACATGTCATCACTCAGGTTGCAAAAGCAATTGAGTATCTGCACGAGACTTCCGGCGTCGTCCATCGGTAAGATCCTCCTAATGCCTTGAGACAGCATGGCCAGTGGCTCACAGCGCCTCTAGTGATATTAAACCGGAGAATCTCTTGTTCTATCCCATTCCATTTGTTCCAAGCAAAGACCCCAAGCCTCTTCAACCCGGTGACGAGGACAAAGTCGATGAAGGGGAGTTCACCCCCGGAAAGGGATCCGGCGGGATTGGTATCATCAAAATTGCCGATTTTGGTCTCTCCAAAGTCATCTGGGATAGTCAAACTATGACTCCTTGTGGAACTGTTGGTTACACAGCTCCAGAAATCGTCAAGGATGAAAGATACTCGAAGAGTGTCGATATGTGGGCTCTGGGCTGTGTGCTTTACACTCTCCTCTGTGGTTTCCCGCCTTTCTACGACGAGAGCATCCAAGTCTTAACGGAGAAGGTGGCGCGCGGCCAGTACACCTTCCTGTCGCCGTGGTGGGATGACATCTCGAAGTCTGCGAAGGATCTGATCTCCCATCTCCTGACGGTGGACCCTGAACAACGATACTCAATTAAAGAGTTCTTGGCCCACCCGTGGATCCGTGGAAGCGACGAAGAAACCCAGGCGGCCACAGACGCTCCCCCCCTGACGACTCCTCTGCCCTCCGCCCGTCAACAGCCGTTGGACGCCTTCGCGGCGGACCAGGCACCATATGCTCCAGCCAGCGCTCGACTGTCGGACCAGCCCTCTGCCGGCTTGGAACGCCCCATGGACTTCCGGTCGCCGGGGGCGATCAACTTGCGCGAGGTCTTCGATGTCGGCTACGCCGTCCATCGTCAAGAAGAAGAAAGTAAGCGGCTGAAGACATCCCGCGGCCGCGGGGCCAACCCGACCACCGGGTTCCAGTCGGCTCTGAATCCACTCAACGAGGATTATGACGAGGATATCCCCCAAGTCACATATCAGCCCATTCACCAGAATGAGTATGCGGCGCCGAAGGTCCACAAGGGCTCTCAACAGTCTCGAGAAGTGGCTGCAATGGAGGCCAAATTACGATCCACAAATCTGGGCACTCACCCGAGCGCTGCCGCCCAAGCACGACAGGCATACCAGCCTCGACAGCCGCAGCAGGGCTACGGCACACATAGTGCTAAGGTGGCGGCGGCAGCGAAGCAGAATATCGCTCGGTCGTCGCGGCAACCTTTCGAACTCAGTCTGGATAACGCGACGTTGTTAGAGAGGAGAGGTAGACGGCATCAGGTTGTCTAAAATCTTTATACTTCCTCCGGAATGAATTATTACGACTAGGAACGATGGGCCATGAATTCTATTCCATGATCATTGGGTGGCAGGGTCGCATTTGTCTCGGGTGTTATTCCCCCAGGGTTCTCTTTCTTTTTTATTTTTCTCTTTTTTTTTTCTGGATTATTCAGGTTCGGGCAAAGCATTTGTTATGGGTTTTTATTGGGTTTCTCTACGGGGATATCTACGTTACTGTTTTATGTTCTGTTACTTGCGCACTTTTCATTATTTTTGTGGCATATGGAGAATCCGGGACATAGGGATTACTTGCATTTCAAAGAAGTCCGCATGTTACATTGGCCTGCTTTTGTAATTGTTTGGTCTCGTTTACGCGTAAACTCTCCCTGATGTTGTACATTACAGAAGTAACAGAGACACGCATCTAGATATCTAGTATGTATTTCAAAATGCTGACAGTTCCTTGTCACCTGATCTTTAGCCCTAAGGACCCCGTCCGGCAATACAAGTACCATACCTCTCAATCAATAAACCTGACTTTTTACTATACTTTCTCATTTTCTATTCGAGAGAACTAAATATCCGACTACTTAGGGATACAGGACTTGAGAAGTTGGAAAAACGAAAACGAGATAGAAAAACAGGGTATTCAACACATCCCGCCAACCAAATGGCTATGCACAAGGGTATATATGAGCATTGAGTATCTGTATATAACGGGCATATATATATATATACATTGATTTTCGCATTAGGATGCAGACAAAAAGTAATCATTCATGTGTCGTGAACCGTAACCATCAGTCAACATCAACATGAATCGAATCAATGTATACACGAAAGTGAATATAAAGGGTATGCATATGTATAGTGATGTGAATGCAGTGCCATACAGAATTTTATCCGAGAATCCGGGGGGAGGTAGTAAAAAAAAAATGGTATCATGTCACATAAATAGGGGGAAAGATTTTCTTATCCTACATCGAGAAGGGAAAGTCAGGATGAGAGGAGAGGATATATAGAGTCTAGAGGGTCTGTTTTCCTCTCGTTTCGATGGGGAAGAGACACATGGCGACGAAGGAAGCCAGCATGAGAGCGCCGGAGGCGTAGATGGGGGCATTGGGGTTGGAGGAGCCGCTGTAGATGGCGACGAGGGGGGCGCAGAGGCCTGCGATACGGTTGAGACAGCTGGCGATACCGGTGCCGGTGCCGCGGTTGGGGGCCGGGAAGACCTCCGGGGTGTAGGCGTAGAGGACGCCGTACATGATGTTTTGGAAGAAGGCTTCGAGGGAGGAGCAGAGGAGCTGGATGTTGGGGTCGGTGGAGGCGGTGAAGCAGAAGAGGAGGACGCCGGTGATCAGGGTGGAGATGATCATTGTGCCCTTGCGGCCGACGTACTTGATGTCAACGGTGAAGCAGGCGAGGATGGAGCCTGGCACGCCGACAATGGAGGTGATGGCGTAGTTGCGGTAGACGGTGTAGGTGGATTGTTCGGCGCCACCGCCGGCCTGTTTGAGGTATTGGGGCAGGAAGGCGTTGAAGAGGGGGTAGCCCATTCCGATGGTGGCCCAGCAGAACCAGAGGAGCACGGCTGTGGGGGTTCATGTTAGTTTGCGTGCGGTGGGATCTGAGGAGGGGGGAGTTTGGTTGAAAGAGAGACGTACTGTTAATACCCAGCTTCTTGGTGCCGAAGAGAGGCCTGATACGGTCCAGGGAGAACTTGGAAAGGTATCTTACAATGATCTCCTTGAAAGTAAGAGTCTGCTTTTCGACTTCTTCCGGGTAGCCGCCGATCTCGTTGAGGATGTCCTCGGTGAGCCAGGTTTGCTTCTTGTTCCTGTGAGCGATGCCATGGACAGCATGGACAGCCTCGGCCTGGCGACCACGAGAGAGCAAGTACTTGGGGGACTCGTAGAGGTGGAAGAGGAAGAAGCGGCAGAAGAACATGGCAAAGGTCAGCGCACCCAAGGTGAGAACCAGATATCTCCAGCCCATGTTGTCCTGCTTTGTGCAGCACTGGACACCATCGGCGACGCTGTTGCAGGCAGGCAGGTCGCTAGCGCAAGAGTAGGTTGGAATGTATGCCCATGCGAGCAGACTGCGTCGGCTGTTAGTCTAATAATTGTCACATCTCAATATACGGTTGAGCATACCTGGAAATAAGCTGGCCAATGGGCCACCAGACACTCAGCATGGTCAAGAGGTTGCCAGAGGCGAATGGGAGAAACTCCAAAAAGAGAGCGCCATCAACTGGAAGATTTCCGCCAACACCGAGTCCCAGGCAGGCGAATAGGGCACAGACACTGAGTTATCCGTCAGCAGGTGTTCATCATTGGGAGCAGGAAGAAAGGGCATACCCGACCCAGTTGGGACCGCCCCCGGCGGCCAGACCGAACACACTGGTAATGAGGAGAGTCAGGTTGAAAGCAGGACGACGTCCAATGATATCCGATGCAACACCCCAGAACGAAGCACCCAGGCAAAGACCCAAGAACAACGCGCAGGTGGTGAAACGGACACGGCTTTCAGAGACACCGAACTCCGCTGACAGTTGAGTCAATGTTAGGGCAACACCCTACAGAACCTTAGTACATGTTATGGGAACACCAAGAAAGCATCGCCCGGTTTCTTACCTGCAACCAGAGACTAATCAAGGATTGTTAGCCACAAAGTTCAATTATCAAGCAGAGAAAGATTCGCTTACTTGTCTGCCAACCAACCACATCCACAGAGTGCAAACAGCTCCCACTGATAACGGCCCATGCCGATATCCTGAATGGCTCTGTTGATAACCTTTGCTTTGCCTGTGGACAACTATCAGATCCGCACCTCAAACGGGGCTATACGGGACTATTTTTCTTCTTCTTCTTCTTCTTCTTCTTCTTCTTCTTCTTCTTCTTCTTCTTCTTCTTCTTCTTCTTTTTGTATAAGGGGCAAGTGGTTATTTTCATGGGCAATAATATAGGCACATACGGTCATATGCGGAGTCATGGCCGGAAGCGACAATGTCTGTTTCGACTTCGGCGCGCAGGCTTTCAAGGGTCAAGTGGGCATTGTCAGAGAGCGAGGTAGCGACTCCGTTCTCCTCGGAGGGGGCTTTATCGCTTCGGGCGTCAGTTTTCTCGTCAGGGCCAGAATCCTTTGTATGTAACGACGGATTCGGGTGGGAATGCGCTGGGGCACTGCCGAGGGGCACGACCACCCCGGGGAAGTCGTGGTCGTGTTTCTTAAATGGGTTGAAAAACATGATGCCGGTTCGTTTGCTGCTTTGGACAGATGGGCTGGCGCGCTTTGGGAAACTTCTCGAGACCGGAGGGTGGTGGTCGTCTACCGTCCGAGATCTGGGCAGTCAATTGGCAAGCGGTTCAATGGGGGGGGGGGGGGGGTTAAGTCTACTGTGGTCCGTTATAGTCGCAAAGGCAAGATCTATCGGGATCGGGATCGGTAGGGCTTCTGGTGACGCAGTCTGGGGCAAGTAATGGCGCTCAAGGGCCGAGATGGCAAGGCGCAATGGCTGTTCAAATAGGCTATAAACCGTTCAGGATTTCATCAGTTGGCGCTAGGGATGGTGATGCTGAGAGAAAGGCCGGTTTTGATTTTCTGTCCGGAATTTCTGATCGAGTATCCGCGTATACCTGTTGGACAGCTGCTACTGAGCGTGCGTCGGATAGCTGAAGTCGTGACGGTATTCCGTCACGCTGATTGATGATGGAAATTTGGTGTAGACAACAAGTGTAAATGGTATATAAATCAGAAGGGAATCTGAGACAGACAGCTTTGGCCGGCTGTTTTGGTTTGCTTTGATAGTAGGGGGACTGAGAGATGGCGTATCTGTCTTCCCTGGATCGCAAAGATAATTTGGAAGCAGGTAGATGAAGCTGTGATAGCTATCGGTCTGGGGATTGAAGATCTGGATTGGAAGTGTGGGGAGAGAGAGAAGTATGGAAAGAAGAGAGGTGAAGAAAGGCGACGAGGCAGAGAAGATGAGGAAACTTGGGCCCTATATAAGCATCCAATTCCTCTACTAAGCAGAGGACATGAGAAAAAAAGAAAGAAAGAAAGAAAAAAAGAAAAAGAAGAAAATATGGTTGAGAAAGATAAAGCTCCTATCACACAATCATACTCGATCTTTTCTTTTTTTTTTTTTGTCCTTGGCTAAAACCGACAATCGTATCGGACGGTATTTGTAAAATACATTCACTCGTTTGAAGCCGTCCAACTCGTAATGTGGCAACCACGGAAAAATCACCTGAATCGTATTGCAGGCCAATGATGCCATCCGCTACCATATCCTTTCGCTGACGCCCCATGGCATGAACAATGTCGACACAGGTCAATTCTCTGCGGGAAACCACCGTTTGCCTATAGCAACGCAAAGAGTCCTCGGTGGTGAACTCCAACCCACTGAATCACTCACCTGGATATCTGAAACTTTACGGGGCCGTACCAGGACCCGTATCAATAAATAAGTACGCACCTAATACTGTACATACTAGTAGTACATACTACATACACACCTGCAGACTAACATCAGGGAAAAGGTACCACTCCCAGCGGACCTAAAGCGGGAGACAGAACACGGGCCGTTGATAGGCTTGAAAGAAGCCCACACCGGTCAAAAGTGATGGAGATTCACAGGGAAGATGATTGGAGAATTAGGGTGGATCGGCCAGTGCGGCGCAGATGGAGCAGGAGTCGCCACGGGCCCTGGGTGAAGGTAAAGTTGCAACCGGCGAAGGCTACGGCGAGTCCGGTCCAGGTTGACTAACTAATAAAAGTAGGACTGTTGGATCCATCTTGCGTCTGACCATGGAGCAGATCTGTGCTCTATGCGATCATAACTTCTTTGTGCACAGCACGCTAAAACTTGTTAGTCAATTTTTTAGTGACCGTCGACCTACAGATCATTGCTGAAAGGTGTACTGCGTACGGAGGAGAAAAATCTCACACAGAGATTTCTTTATTAATACTTTTTTGGTATGCATGTCAGGGTAGGAATGTGCGACCACCACGTGCCGCGTCTCGTTTGCCTTCGATACCCTTTTCCCTTCCTTCACCCCAGCGACGGGTAACCAAACAACCCGTCTTGACCAACTGTTGATATAACCCGTCGAAGCAAAGCCGGATAAAAGAGTTTCGGGCAGCTCCCACTATGTCGAACCATAGTTAAGCAAATTTCATGCCCTTTCAGTGGCCAGGGCCCAGAAGGCGAAAAGGATCGCAGTTCCTTTGCCAGGGAAGCTGAAGGGCGCTAGTAGTTGGGAACAAGTTAAGACGGCATGCTTTCAGACGACCATTGGCTGAAATCCGGTGAAGGTCATCTCTTGGCTCAGATTGGTTGTAAGACATGTCGTCTACCGCAATTCTCTAGACTTCCATGAAGATACCGTAGGATGGGGCCCGAGGAATCCATCTGCCTGTTCTGTTAGATCGTACCATTGGACATTTAGAGTGGAGTTCCAAAGAAAACATGAGGGGCAAATGGCACAACAATCGGTTCTCGAAGGGATGGTTATCACGAGTATATCAAGTCCACGTGCCGAGATGGCCTTAGTAGTCGCCCTACGTCATCGGCCTGGATATACTCCGTAATATGGTTACGCTAATCCCGCTTAGGGAGGACATTACCTTGCTACCAAGAAAGAAGGGGAAAAAAATAAAAATAAAAATAAAATAAAATAAAGTACAGAGAGATAATACCGAGTTGAATGAAAAAAAAAAATGAATAACAAAAGTTAAAGGATACTGAATCTGTATGCAGTCTCCCGTATATCCCAAGCCATACGAAAAGGTAAAGCTTTTCGATTCTCTCGGCAAGGCCAACCCTACAGCGGTTAGCCCAGACAGCCTCCTTGGCAGGATAGATCTTGAACCCTAACTCTTTCACGACTCACGGGAACCTCTATAAAAAGTAAGAGGAGGGGAAAAAAAGGCGCAGATTGCGTCAACATAAACAATTCAATCCACGCAAACGCAACGCATCTCAAAAACACGAGGTTGTTTGTCTTATGAGATGCAGCTCAGCTCAATCCTCCCACCCAAGTATTGATCATCCAAGGCGACGGTCATTGCCGCATCCGTCATCTCGGCGTAGGATTCTTGCCTACGGGTTCCACAGTCGCCCGTCAACCCAATCAATGGCTCGTAATTTACAGGGTTCAACTTTTCATGCAGTATGGAAGTTCCTGCCGGCAACCTCTGGCCGATATTAAGGAAAAAGGGGGGGGGGGGGAGAAATACTTGATAATATAATACATGACACCGAGTATCCTCTTCTTTCTGTGATATTATCTCTTTTTTTTTTTTTGGTAGGCAGGACAATTATGCTATTACATAACCTCCCTTGCTCATATACGAGCATAGGTTCATCACGGAATAGCGTTACATTATCGTTGTAAATTGGTCTGCCCCACGCCCTCGGGAATGGTCAAGAGCAACCACTTTTTCCCAATCCGAACAACCAAACATTGGATCCCCAAAGAGTTGTCACCTTCTCCAGATGCCATACTACCTTCATGGAATGACGACAAAAGGTCAAATACGCACGTGGCGTCGCAAGATCCGCAAGAATGCGGGGAGAGATCTAGAAACCACGAAGAAAAAAAAGGGAGGGGAAACAAAAATAAGGTGAGGAGAAGATGAGGAGAAAATTGGTTGATTCATACGTACTCTATTCTACGATACGGGGTAATCCTCGATGTTACGATTGACATTCAACGACAGGTAACGTGGTCTGATGGGAAATATCAGGGCCATCACTTCCGAATAATGCCATGAAACTGGAGAGATTCATTGGTACTGCAAATTGCGATGGGGACTAATGTGGGCATCGTCCCCTAGACAGAGGGACGCAGTCATCTGCGACTGGAGTGCATATATCGGGTATAACTCCACTCCAAAGTCTAACTATGCCAACTTGAGACTCGTACATGGAGACTGTCAAAAAGAGGACTTTTATCGGTGGGTATGACTTCGGTTACTCCCTAGTTCTGTACTCTGGAGCCTGGAGAAGGCCATGGGCTCCAGTTTTCCTCGGAACGGGGACAGCTGATGGGACCCGGGGAAACCTCTGTTCACGAGATATCGTGATCGTACATGGTGTACGTACATGTATCCGATCTACGTGCCTTGTGAATATACTTCGTATGTGTTCCGATCGTGCCACAGTCTAGTACACTGGATCGAAGAAACTGGATACAACTATCTAACAGTCGAGCATCATGCAAGGCTGAGACTTCGCTATCACACGCTGTCTAGGGCACGGTAGAAACAAGTACAGTACATGTATTGTGTCTCCACCACGGAACCCGTACATGTTTATACATGTATGTATATCTGTATGTTACATGTGTGGATCTATGAGGAGTACATCCATGATGCTTACAAGGCTTCTCTTCCTTATGTCCAAGATACTGTCGGGGTAGACAACTTTCCCTATCATTCCGTGGCTGCGCTCCCCTACCCCTGTTCGTTACAACGGAGATCTCAGGTCGGTTGGCGGGAAAGGTGATGGGATGACTTGGATGGGAAGTATGTCTTGAAGGTCAAATAAAGTCACAAGGATCCGGACACTGCCGTGAAGGTTTTACCTTGACGGGTTAAAAAATGATATCAGGAACATTATATACCAATCAGCGGATGCTTCTAAGAATATGCTTGATTAGGAAATGTATTCCCGTCGGTCAAAACCCTTGTCTTCTTATCTCGAGATATGACATAAAAGGAAGCGGAGTATCAGAGCAGAAGATAGGGATATGTAGCACATCATCATCGACCAACTCCATGATCCCAACTTACCCTATTCTCCATGTGTCCCTTTATAATTCCTCGATCCGCCCCAGTAGCCACTGGATATGACGGTAGGCGACCCTGGGCTGGTACTGAGGCTGCATATGGCCGCTCTGGAATGTCTCCGCCCACATCAGCCCTCTTTCATAGTGTTGAATGCCCATTACACCCTGGCCGCTACGCCATGAGGCAAGACCGTTCTCTTCAAACACCCCCGCATACTGGAGGTCCGGCAGGCCAATCTCAATCGGGGTGCTCGGTTGCGACTGGAACCCTAGTTGTCCATTCCAGGTCATGTTCTGGATTGCCAAAAGGGTTCCATTGGTCTGGAGAATGAAATCGTAATCTCCGTGGCTGATGAGAACTCGGTTTGTGGCTTCGATCACCTGGGGTAAAACACGTTCGATTGGGTTGGCGGACAAATCACCCAGTCCCCCGACTCCGGCGTCGCCACCAACGAAGACAGGCTGGAGCGAGGACATAGACCAGGTCATATTGGGTGCATGCATAGCTTTCTTGACATCGTCGCGATCAAAATACACCGTGGCTCCAGCGGGTAGATCGTGAAGCTTCGTAGGTCCTCCGAGGACATCCCACAAAATGGGACACATCTGGTTGATGGCGTACACGTTGTAGCAAGGGTTGACTAGATAAGATGCATCAGTGATCATATTAAAGACATTACAATCAGCGTCGCTGATAGGATCAAACGACTTCGGAGGTTGGGCTCCCGATGGGGGGAAAGTAAGATATTCGTCCAAGAATTCCTGGTAGCCACACGATTTGTGAAGTCTCTCTAACTCGTTCATAAAGCTTGCATTGAAGTTGAGGATTTTGGTGTTCTGCAGCACAGTTGGCACAGCAGATACTTGTTGTCCCACATAGTCAAACTGGCCAATGACCGGGTCGTAAGCCAATGCCCCTACATTGTCAGGTATCAGCATATAAAACATCTGCGGAGCCGAGTTCCCCCATTGCAAGAGAAATAGCCTACCGCGGACGTCAAAATAATCCTTGTCGTTTTGATCCAGCATTGTCGCAGCAATGTAAGGTACATAGCGTCCAGCATAACTCTGCCCGGCCACATAAATCTTGAACTTCTTGATTCCGAAGATGTCTTGAAAGTTCTTGAAGAAATTTATAAAGTCCCTGGAGGTCTCCTCCTCAGTGGTAGCAGTGGGTGCACCTGTAGAAAAACCCGTCCCAACGGGCTGATCAACCCTACGGTAAACATATTAGTTTAGCGTAGAGCGACGTAGATCAAAGAAGGAGTCTCAAAGGAGACAATCGAAACGTACCACAACATGTTGGTTAAATTTACCCAGGAATACGGATTAATTACTGGCGTGTAGGTTCCTGGCTGCCAAACAAATCTGCCGGTCTCTTGGAGGAAACCTTCGAGGGAGCTAGCGCCTGGGCCCCCGTTAACCTCTATTGTAATTTCGTCTACAGGTTCCCCAACTGTGGGCTGGAACACAAAGAAGAGAGTCCTCGAGCTGTTATCCTTGTCGATTGGCACTGATCCCGAGTACAGTTCACCGACGTCGAATGGCACATCAGGCAAGCTCTCCACAAGGTAGGCTATTAACCCATATGCCTACATCAGCATTCATCCACCAGGAAGTATGGATACATACACTTCGTCTCGTCATTAAGAAATCGAAAGTGATCGTATGAGCGGAGTTGAGGCTCTTCCGAAGACATCGAAACCCTCTTGCCTAGGACCGAGGGTTCGTGCACCGGCCGATCAGAGCGTCCATGCTTAGAAGCACATACCTTGCCGGTGTATAATGAGATGGCTAATGTAGCCGCCGGCAAAAGGCCTTGAAAGCGCATTCTGAGTCGAATTTGAGCGATCTGGCTACGGAACTTGAGAGTCAAACGAAGTCGTTTTCAGATTGGTCGGGGAAGACTGGAGTATTTATAAGGATATCCTGCAGGGGTAATAAGATGCATGCTAAGACCTGTAGGGTACCATTTTGGGGACGTTGTGGAGGCCGAAGGTGTCTTACAAGGAAGGACTAGTAAAACCATGATATTGTTGACAGGGGACTGAGTGATAAGATCCCTGGACAGAGATTGCGTGAAAGAAATCCAATAATGAGGGTGGCTGTCTGCGTATCTGGAGATGGGAAGTCTGTGTGACAACGGTCGGGAAAGCCTGCAAAAGGATCCTCCCTTGCGTAACTGAGCACGTCCAATTACCATATTACTTGGAAGTTGGACAGTTTATGGATCTAGCGTCTGCCACATTTTGATTGAGCAGCAAGGTACAGGGATCTTCCTGGCATCGACAAGGCTGCATTTAATTTGTGGTGTTGTTTAGGATTCAAATTGAGAACCTATCGAGTTGCTTTGCTCTGTTTGCATCCATGGCAAAAGTCACTGGGTAGGGTCTCATGATGATATATGATGAGATCACTCCTCGGTTTCTCTCGGAAGTTTGGTTCAGATGCAGTGAACATGTGTTCAAGCAAACCAATGGATGTTGTGGATTGACCCGGGCAGGCTTCTCATGTGTATTGATCACGGCACTAAGAGGGCGTCGTGGATGTCCTCCAAATCTTATCGTCGCTCTTTCATTCGATCCGTCAATCGAATTATTTCCTGACCAGCCGAATGTAACGCCGTTGAAACCTTATCAGTCAATCAGTCCAAAGAATTTTAACCTAAAATACATCTCAATAAAGGAAAGAGAAAAGGTATTGTTATCTGGAAATCTGATTAGAAAGACTGACTGAAGGGAGTACGAGTAACCTATGTATGGTTGTACATACTACATACATCCACAACTTCCGCCTCTGTTCTTCGATTCGATGACTCCCTGAATAACCATTTACCTGTCTGAATCGTTCGTTCTTACTAATATATGGTATAGCATGATATCGATCTGGATAGCCGAATATGTATTTTAATAAATCTCAACGATATTGACAGTTAGGGCATAAATGCTGCACGGGTCGCAATCAAAAGAGACAAACAATAAAAGGGTTACACCTTCCTGAGTCGGCAGAGTCACCTGATAACCTCGTGAGCAAAACAGAGATTCAACTGTTTGGGTGCTTTGTACTCTGTAGGATGGATAACACAATCTACCATCATCTCTTCTTGAACCATTTGTATCCAGTCCTACTTATCTTTTAGTTACCGCTGTTAATGTCTACGCCGACATACCTTCCCTTGTAGAAGGCATCTATTCGGACAGTCAATAAGGATCCAAACATTCACTTCCAAAGGTTGTACCTCAAACCGGTTGACCCGTCGGAGTCTCCTTCCTCATATGCCATCACGTGTTTAGGGACAACCTTCTATACTACTTGGTTCGAAGCCATGCCACCAACCGCTACCCAGCAACCACGGAACCCCAGTGATACATATCACTGCTGCGGACAAGAGTATAATGCCACGCTACTCCTGTCGCTCCTAAAAAAGGGTCGGGAGACTCCCATCTGATTTACTCCGCACACGCATTGATGCCCAGGAGATCCGTCGATATTTTTTTAGGCGCGGATGGAATCGACATGTCTAGTCTCCAACGAAACCACCCCACAAAATGAGGGAGCACGCCCTGTATGGGTTTGGTTCAACCTCTTGTGGTTGTGGAATTGAATGCTGCCGTCCTCTGTGAAGTTCGACTGATCGATCACACTAGTCTCGACGTCGTAACCAACTTTTTACTATTTGCATCCTTCCAACATTCTTGATTTGTTAACCCTTCCGTCCCTTTCATATTTTCCTGACATCGCCCCTACGCTCTTCTATCTCTTTGTTGGTTTACCAGGTCGGTTTGTTCTTTGTAGGGTTCGCAGGGCTGCCATAGTCCGTATATCCACTCCACGGACCTTCCTGATCTCGGCTAGTGCTGGTTGCCGGCCGCGGGGAAAAGGCTTTAAAATCTCTTAAAGAGGGAGAACTCAGAACACACCCAATGAGAACTATTCCTCTTGGAGAACAGCTCGGAGAAAACTGACTCAGACTCCACCGGCCAAGAGGTCGGGTTGCCCTTGGGGTCAATTACAAGAGTGAGCGGTGGCCGGTTTCTTTTTCTTCGGGCTTACCTACTTCAGTTCCCACTACTCTTGCCGGAGAGGCGCTCGTATTTACCTCCATAACCTCCTCTTTGATTTGTAATTGTTTGCTTTGTTAATCAACGCGTTTCTACCAGCGTTGTGTTCTTGTCCTTTTTGGCTTGTGTTCGGACAGTAGCGAGAGGAAGAGGAAAAAAGTGAAATCAAGGTCAACTGTGGTCCACTTCCGCCCTATATCACTACTAACATGTCCACCGCCGTCAGACTCCATGGCAATCCTCATACAGGTGCTATAGAACAAAACAGCCCCAGAGGTTCTACCACCCAAGCTGCTCTCTATGATGAGGCACCTCTCGGGTCATCTGAAAAACCATCGACCGATGCCTCGAATATGCCTCTCAGCTCTGGTGATGATGCCGGGCATCGGATTCCGCCATCAGCACAACCTGGCTATGATCTTTCACCGGAAGGGCAAACGACCCTCGAGCATGGCCATGACAGGCCGTCCCTCGAATCCCAGACCGACCGCTCAACGCATAGTGCCCCCATGAGCCGTGTGACCACTGACGCCGATGGGAATACTTACCCCGAAGGCGGGTTAGAAGCCTGGCTGGTAGTGTTTGGTAGCTGGGCGGGCCTTTTCGCCGCGCTGGGCCTAGTCAATACTATCGGAACTTTTCAGGCTTACCTCGACAATCACCAGCTTAAAGATTATAGCTCGGGAAGCACTGGCTGGATCTTTGGAATGTATGCCTTCCTCACTTTCTTCTGCGGTGTCCAGATTGGCCCGATCTTCGACGCCAAAGGCCCGCGGTTTCTTGTCTTTGCAGGATCAGTACTAGTCGTTGTGCAGATGGCTACTCTGGGGCTTTGCACCCAATACTGGCACTTCATGCTTGTGATTGGAGTCACCGGGGGGCTGGGGGCCTCGCTAATTTTTACGCCTGCTATATCTGCGATTGGTCATTTCTTTAACGAGAAGCGTGGTGTTGCAACGGGCATTGCTGCAACAGGCGGCTCTGTTGGAGGTGTTACGTTCCCCCTCATTCTCGAAAAGCTGTTCCCGATGATCGGATTTGCCTGGGCCACTCGTGTGATCGGTCTTATCTGTTTGGTTCTAGTGATTATTTCCTGCCTGCTGGTCAAGTCACGATTACCCAAGAAGCCGGCTTCCAAAGAGAATGTACTCCCCGACTTCCGCATCTTTCGGGAGCCTGAGTTTGCCCTCACAACAGCTGGGATTTTCTTCGTCGAATGGGGTCTCTTCGTTCCGATCAGTTATATTTCCTCGTACGCGTTGGCTCACGGTGTGTCCAGCCAGTTTTCGTATCAGTTATTGGCAATCCTTAACGCAGGATCTTTCTTCGGAAGATGGATCCCTGGTTTTGTTGCCGATTCTTTGGGGCGCTATAACACCCTAATTGCCACAGTCGCTTTATGTCTTGTCTGCAATGCATGCCTCTGGCTCCCTGCTGGTGATAGTGTGCCGGTAATGGTTGTCTACTGCGTTATCTTTGGTTTTGCGAGTGGCAGTAACATCAGCCTCACCCCAGTTTGTATTTCCCAGCTCTGCAAAATCGAAAACTATGGGCGATACTATGCTACATCATACACGATTGTGAGCTTTGGGTAAGTCTAGGAGGCTCCCTGTGTCTTGACTGGGCATGGAAGATACCGAGTGTAGGAGCTAACGAACCCTTATTGTAGCACCCTTACTGGTATCCCGATTGCGGGTGAGATCCTGTCGCGCTGTAACGGAGAGTACTGGGGACTCATTGTCTTCACGACCTGTTGTTATGCAGTCGGTCTTGCCTGTGTTACAGCTGTGAAAATAATCCACGTTGGCTGGCGTCAGCCCTGGGCACTCTACTGAAGCCGGTACCAACTTGGCCAAGGTGCATTTGAGTTGCGGGATGAAGAACCTAAATCAGAAAAAGGCGAAGCAAAAAATGAAGAGAATTGGCCGAGGTTTCGTTTGATTCAAGAATGACGTTACTTCTTAATGATACGACCTTGAAGGAAATGGCACGCGAAACACATATAAATCATAGCAAGCAAAATTAGCGGGAAAAGTTAATGTCTAGCAATCATCAATTACATTGTTTGTGGAAATGACAAGAAGTGTCTTGGACATAGAAGTCCCAGGACGTCCAGCCATGGATGCTGATCATCACGATGCCTATATCTCGACCCCGGAGAAGTCTTCCGTTCACACTCCTCCATTCCTGGGATTGGATTGGATTTTATCTTCTCAAGCATGCCCCGAGAAATTTATCCGTCACAATGACGGTTCATAAGTGTGTCATGATCATTCAGTTCCGGGGAGAGCACACGCCTCATATGCAACTTTTTGTTCAATGACATATAACAATCATCATGATTATATCTAGCACGGAATACTGCTCAAGTATTTGTACGTTACGATTCCCTTACTGCTTCGTCTCTGCGGCATATTCGCTGTTTCAGTCCCCGCCCTTCTGTCAACATTGGTTGACATTCAGAATGACTCCTGCGATGAGTTTGATTACTCTGGCTGTTGTCTCCTGGAGCCTTGTTTACGGGGTGACAGCTGGTGTTATATCTTCAGGCTGGACGCCAATAATATCAGAAATAACCACCAGCCCACGCCCTAGCCCGTCCCGCCCAGGTACCGCCGCTCCAGATCCGTCGTTCCTATTGACCCAAGCAGCTAACCATTCAACTTGCAGGGCCATGCTCTCCATGCCCTTCATCCCCTTCGTGTCCTGCCGCCACCATAGTAACCGTCACTGTGACTGCAACGGCATGTGTCCCGCCAACCACTCCTAGTGGCGGTGGAGGTGTAACTCAACCTCATCCTTCCTCACCTTTCCCAGTGCCACCCGGCACACCAGGAGCTGGAGCTAGTCAAACAAGTGGTATAGGTGGTGGTCAACCAGGTCCCGGTCCAAGTCCAAGTCCAGGTCCAAGTCCAGGTCCAAGTCCAGGTCCAAGTCCAGGTCCAAGTCCAGGTCCAAGTCCAGGTCCAAGTCCAGGTCCAAGTCCAGGGCCAGGGCCAGGTCCCGGTCCCAGTCAACCAGGTCAATCCCCATGCCCAACCATCCCTGTGGGACCCGAAGGTCCGCCAGCATCAACCACCGTGCATGTTCCAACCATACCTTCCTCGGTAGAGCCTCAGCCTACCAACCCCCTCCCGACAACCATCTCCCCCGTTCATCCACCGACGGGCACCCCAGGGAAAACTAAGCCGGTCCCACCGATCAGCACGCCAGCTCAACCTTCACCCAGTGTGCACCCAACTACCCTACCAGTTCCTCTGCCAAGCACCCCGGGGAAAACTAAGCCTATGCCACCATCAGGCACTCCAGTCCAATCCCCGCCCGGCGAAAAACCTTCACCAAGCACTCCGGCAGAAACCAAACCAGCACCAAGCACACCGATCCAACCTCCACCCAGTGTACACCCAACTACCCAACCTGTTCCTCCACCAGGCACCCCAGGGAAAACCAAGCCACTCCCTCCACCAAGCACGCCAGCTCAACCTCCGCCCAGCGTGAAACCTCCACCAAGCACCCCAGGGAAAACCAAGCCGGCACCACCTCCAGGTACTCCAGTCCAATCTCCATCCAGCGTGCAACCTCCAACAAGCACCCCGGAAGAGACTAAACCGGCGCCATCAACACCCATTCAACCTCCAACAAGTGAGCATCCAACCACCAAACCAGTCCCTCCTCCAACCAGTATCCCTACCCAGCCACCAACGGAGACCACAACAGAAACCCCGACTGGTTCACCTCCCGGCCCTCCGGTACCCACCGCTTCACCATCTGGCAGTATCACACCGATCCAGCCCTCGTCTTCAGAGGAAGGAGTGAAGCCAACGACGACCGTACCAAACGTCCCTCCCACAGAAACTCCTGAGGATGACCCCCCGGCTGATGATCCCCCCGCTGACGACCCTCCTGGCGATGACCCCCCTCATAAAACTACTCTTGTAAAGAGGGCATATCCCCGTTGGCATTTGAAGAAGGGAAAGCATTGGAATTTCACTAAGCCCGAGACAGCTAAGCCCAAGAAACTTGGTAGGCCTTTTAAGCCGCACTACGATGAGGACGAAGATGAGGACTGAAAATTGTAAGGTATTGTATTGAGGAATGAGTTGTTTTCTTATTGGAAGTATTCATGTGCATCAGATATGCAGGCGCAAGAATCTTTTACTGTCGACCGTTTATATCCTTAATCTTAGTGGATGAATGGTAGATGTTGGTTGAATGATATTTCGTTTTTACTATTGGTAATCTATAAGCGTACTAGAAAAGGCCGACAGGCGTGTGTAGTGGTTTTAGTCGTAAGGTCTTTAGGTGTGATTCCTTTCGAGGACAGTACTCGCATAGCCGTTCCAGAAAAACAATTTATACACGCCGAAAAAGAAGAGGATAAGGAAATGTGAAGGAAGTGTTGCAGATCCAGAGCTTCCAGGACCCCTAGCCAAAAGTTTCATCTGCTAATATGAGGAGAAAACAAAGATTAAATACAATACAAAGAGGAACGGAAAAAGAGAAGACCCAACGCAAGCGTATGCGTGTCAGATTGAGGGGGGAAAGATAAAGGATATTCAGGTTCAAAATCGAAAAGAAATCCGGGTAGATAAACTGCACGATATAGTAGTATGCAAGAGAATCCGGCAACCGTTATGGCGGGGAATACTGGCTCCCCTCTTAACAATTGCCTCAGCTCGCCCGGTATTTGTCTTTAGTCCATGCCGTAGGTTTATTTGGAAGAACCCCGCCAGTGGTTCCATACGCCCAACACCTTACACCAGAAAACAGCTGGCATAGCAACAACCGAAATCGAAAAAAAGAAACCATGATATGGTCAAAAAAAGAGAAAACATGGCCATAGGCTGAGACAGTCGACATCGATCCAGGGAAAACATATGCAGAGTAGCAGCGGGTTCGGCTAGATCATGGGGAATAATAAGCGAGAGGCGTAGTAGATAGGAGGATGTGAGGTGAGAATCAAGAAGAGTTTCCCCGAAAAGAAAAGTCCAAAATGAAACGAAGGCACCATGAGATCAACCACGACAAGAAGCATTTCTTACAGGCGCGCAAATGAAAAGGGTATATAAGGTTCGCATCGAAGCCACTTGAAATATGAAAGGAAACGAAAAAGAAGCGAAGGTTGATCTCTAGAACGTTTCACGAGCTATTGGACCGCAGCAATGCCTGCTTATTCGTGAGATTAGCACATTTACTCAGACGAGGGATGATGGAAGATTCAATTGACTTACCCGCTCCATGGAAAGATCCTCAGCCTTCTCGACACTGGGGCTTGCAAGGCTACCTCGGTTGACGGTGCTTGATGCAGTGATAGATCTACCTTCCATGCCCGGACGTGAGCCTTTGCCGTCGGAGCCGTGATGGACCGGATGCATCTCGCCGCTACTTGAGATTCGTGATTCCTTGCTCTTCTCTAAAAGCGAACCACCAAGTGTAGCACACTTAAGAATGGTCTGCATCATTTGGTTCTGCTTCAGTGGCTTCGAGAGATATTCGTCCATCTGAGCTTGTATACACTTCTCTCGGTCGCCCAGCATAGCGTGTGCAGTAAGAGCGATGATTGGTGTCCGACTTAGACCGGATTCCCTCTCGTATTCACGAATTTTACCTGTTGCCTCAAAGCCACCCATGACTGGCATCTGCACGTCCATCAAAATGACATCGTACCGATGTTGTTTAACGGCTTCCACAGCCTCCAGGCCGTTGCTGACGACGGAGACCTTATGGTTGTGTTTTTCCAGTATTTTAACAGCCAGTTTCTGATTGACGTCGTTATCCTCTGCCAGGAGGATGTCAAATGAGCGGGAGTGGTCGGTAGTAATAGGAGTAGAGCGGCCCTCCAGCGCAGGCAACATGCCATTACCGAGATCTATGGGTTGGCATGGTGTGGTCATGTACGAACTGATTCCAAGGTCCAGGGCAGATTTCAAGCTTACACACACCAACGGGCAGACCAGGACAATAGGTACGTATTTAAAGTCATCGAACGTCCGGAGCAACCGTGCCGTGCCAACTGAGTCCACAATGATAACGTCGTAAGCGTGGCCAGACTCCTTGCCAGATGGATCTTGGATCTCTGGGGGCGGAACATGATCTTCGTTACGGACGACCAATGGCTCCAGGTCCATCTGTTTGAGCATCTTCATAACGTTGTCCGCCTGTGTACCATTCTCCCCTTTGTCGATAAAGAGGACGCGGTGGTTCTTGTACGGCAGTAGCTGAGATGCAATGACGTTCAAGGACTGATCGGCGAGTTTCACAACACACGTGAAATGGAATGTGCTACCATGGCCATACTCAGACGTAACCCATACATCACCACCCATAAGGTTCACCAAGCGTTTCGAGATAGATAAACCAAGGCCTGTTCCACCAAACCTGCGTGTTGTCGAGCCATCAGCCTGCTGGAAGGTGTCGAATATTAGATCAAGTTTGTCCTCCTCAATACCAATTCCGGTGTCAGATACGGAGAACTCAAAGGCGTATTCATTCGCCGCACACTGTTCGCGGTCCGATTTCCGAATCGTGAGCTTGACCTCTCCGTGTTCCGTGAACTTGATGGCGTTGCCCACCAAGTTAAGAATAATCTGACGAAGACGGAAAGGATCACCAGTAACGTAGTCTGGTACTGTGTTATCGACCTGGTAGGTCAGGCTAAGGAACTTCTCATTTGCCTTCACCGCAAGTGTCTTCAGTGCGTTGAAGACGGTTCCCCTCACTGTGAATGGGATGCTTTCGATAACCATTCTGTTTGCCTCGATTTTCGAGATGTCAAGTATGTCATCAATGATCGTTAATAAGCTGTTTGCAAGATTATGCACAACATTTAACATCTCGCGGGTATAAGGTTTGAGGTCGTCCGTATCTAACGTCAACTGCGTCATACCGATGATACCATTCATGGGTGTACGGATTTCGTGACTCATATTGGCCAGGAATTCGGACTTGGTACGATTAGCAAGCTCAGCTGCTTCCCTGGCGGCGGTGTTTCTCTGAATACTGTCCCGGAGGTTGGAAACCATCTTATTGATCTTTCGCTTCAACTCGTCCATCTCACCAGAAGCATTAACAGTGATAAGCTTCGTGAAATCGCCATCGGTGGCAGCATCTGTGATCTCGCCAAATGCTCGCACCTGGGACGTGAGGTTTTCTGCCATGATATTCACGTCTTCGGTGATTTCTTTCCACGTTCCCGCAATTCCTTCAACGTTGGCCTGACCGCCCATCTTGCCGTCAACACCGACATCACGGGCGACCTTTTTCAGCTCAGTCGCAAACTTAGCGAGTCGGTCAACCATGTGATTGATTGTGACCTTGAGCGTCAAGATCTCTCCCTGAGCATGCACTTCAATCTTCTTGCTGAGATCACCCTTGGCAATGGCTTGAGTGACATCTGAGATACTCCGTACCTGCGATGTCAGATTCTGAGCCATAGTGTTGACGTTATCGGTAAGGTCCTTCCATTTTCCCTCCACGTTATCCACCTTGGCTTGACCACCAAGAGTACCGTCCGTGCCGACCTCACGCGCGACTTTGCTGACCTCAAAGGCAAAGGTGTTGAGCCGGTCCACCATGCCATTGATCGTGCTCTTCAAGTCAAGTATTTCACCTTGGACATTTGCAGTAACCTTCTTAGTTAGGTCACCCTTTGCTACGGCGGTAGTGACATCAGCGATCTCTCTGACTTGTGTTGTCAAATTGTTGGCCATTCGGTTGACATTCTCGGTCAAATCCTTCCATGTGCCCTCCACATCATTGACCGTGGCTTGACCACCGAGGACACCATCTGTGCCGACCTCCTTAGCAATCTTCGTGACTTCCTGTGCAAATTGCCGCAATTGATCCACCATGGAATTGATGATGTTCTTCAACTCTGCAATCTCTCCTTTACAGTTGGCTTGGACCTTCTGCGTCAAATCACCTTTGGCGACAGCTTTCGTGACTGTAGCGATATCCCGCACTTGGGTTGTCAAATTGTTCGCCATGGCGTTGACATTAACTGTGAGTTCGTTCCACATGCCTTTTACTCCATCAATCTGAGCCTGTCCGCCGAGAACACCCTCAGTACCGACATCACGTGCGACGCGTGTAACTTCTGTGGCAAATGTACGAAGTTGGTCCACCATGGTATTGATGGTCTGCTGCAGTTCCAAAATTTCACCCTGGGCCCGACTTTCAATCTTCTGACTCAGGTCACCATGGGCGACAGCTGTTGTGACCACAGCAATCTCACGCACTTGGTCCGTGAGATTCTTGGCCATGATGTTGACGTTTTCCGTAAGCTCCTTCCAGATACCATGGACCCCTGTGATCTGGGCTTGGCCACCAAGGATGCCTTCCGTTCCGACCTCTCGTGCGACTCGAGACACTTCACTACCAAACACTTGCAGCTGGTCCATCATAGTGTTGATCGTCCGTTTGAATGTAGCGATTTCGGGGTCCATCTCCAGGGGATGGATCTGCACCTTCATTGACAGGTCACCGTTAGCGACCTGAGTGATGATGCCACCGATCTCCCTTAAAGCCTTCTGGAAAGCTTCGTTGGCTTGCTGGTGTTTGCGAAGCTCCCGCTCCAGCAGGACCACATCTTCGTTTTCAACCTTGGTCAGAGCCCGTCGCGTTTGCTCTTCCTGCTGTTGTAATTCATCACGCACTTGAGCGATAATGTCTTTCTGAAAACTTATTTCCTCCGCCTGTTTCTGAACATGGTTCCGTAGATAACTGATGTCCTCCTCGCGTACCAGTCGAGTCCTCGAGTCTAGGTCTTCATCTTCATCGCTCTCCTCCTCCTCATCTCCTCCTCAATATCCTCATCGGGCTCTTCTATCCGCCTTGGGTGGTGGGGTCTATGGGAGTTTTGCTGCTGTAGTGTGGAAGAGAAGTTAGAAACTTGCTGGGACGACGAGCGAGAAAGTCCAAAAGACCACAAGAAGTCAGCTTCCCTCTCAGTGGAGCTGAGGGAAGACTGGGAGGATTCAGGGAAAGTTCCGGGGGAAGTCTGGTGACTGACAGCTTGAGATTCCAGTTGTTGAACTCGACGGACTAACGCCTCCAACTCATTTTCAAAGGCCGCCTTTGACGAACTTGCATCTCCCGGTAGCTTGGTGAACTTGGTGTCGTAGCCATTAGATGAAGCGTGCGATAGCGGAAAATCAAAGGGAGGAGCGGAGCCGGAGCGAGGGGTTTCGCGGGCAAGACCCCGAAGGATGGCAGCAGCGGCCGCGAGCGTTTCGTCCGCGCCAGCCATTGTGCCTAGGACGACTCAATCACAAACGGGACATTAAGTAGTGTTGCTGTGAAGATTTTTCTGGTTCTCCTTTCGCTCGTGCAAAATTCGTCTAGATATGAAAATACGGAGAATGAGATGCTATCCGAGAAAAAAAATCCGGTCCAGTTGGTAGTTTTAAATAGAGGGCAACATGAAAGAAATCCCAAAGGGCAAAAAAGAAGAGGGAAAAGGAGTGAGGCGTATTTCAGGTGATCGGGATAAAGCGACGAGTCTATATGATAATGCTCGGATAGTGAATAGTCAAGGGGGGAGACGACATTAACGATCACCAAAAGGAAAGATAGAGTTGGTGAAGGGAATGAGTACAGGGAAAAATAGATTTTGAAGGGGACAAGAAAAACCACCAAGTAACTATCGGTTGGGGATTGGGCGAAGGACAGAGAAGGGGGGGGGAAGGTAAGAAAGAAAGTAAGAAAGGAAAGTGTATGGAGAGGATGAGGAAAGAGGAGCAAAAGCAGCGTGAAAATTAAACGATGGGGTAAAGAGGACGATCCGAAGGTCGATGAAGATGAACCTAACCTACCTGACGGGAAGCCGTGTTACTGACACGAATGATCGGGCGAATCTGCTAAGGCGACATGGGGGTGGAGAGCGAGCAGTCGAAAATGGTCCAGGGTTCCGATGGACGGTGTGTTCGAGGATTAAGGCGAAGGGACAAAAGCAACAACCGACCGAGCAGACAAAGACCGTCTTGTCTGGGCGAGGGAAAGTAAAAAATTCAAGGGAAAAAAAGCAAAAAAAAAAGAAAGAAAGAAGAAAAAAGGGAAAAAGAAAGGAAACAGAATAGGGAGACGGTTAATCGAAGGGAAAACCCACTGAAAAGGGGAGTTAGGATTATCGAACGGAGGTTGAGATTGTGGTTGTGAGTTTGAGCGGTTGGTTCAGTGGAGAGAACAAGAGAGATCAGTAAGCATAGGTTTTTGGTTCAGTTTGGCTGATTTCTTTTCCTTTTTTTTTATGATTATTATTTCTTTTCGAGGGCGCGCGGAAGAGGGAGAACGAAGATTGACCTTTCCTCAGAAAGGAAAAGGGCCAAAAATAATAATAATAATAACTTAACAAAACTAAAAATGAATAATTAACGGGAAAATGAAGAACTCTCCCTCTTTTCTCCCGCTGTCTGAATCTATAGAGGAGAGGGGCTCTTGGTTTGAGACTGTTTGTTCGTTTGGAATAAATTTCTTTCTGCTTTTATTGTCCCTGGATCTTTTCTTTTCTTTTTTTTTCAGGGTTCTTCGGCTGTTTTCTTTTTGTCTTATTCCCTCCTCCCAAAGGGTCCGATTTAGAAAATGACAAAATCCTGGATTGTGGACTTGGTAAGGGGGCGGAGTGAAAGAAAGAGTGGGAGATAGAACTACGACATTTGTGAGGGGAACAAGGAAAAAAAAGAGGATTAAGGACCAAAAGAGGAATAATGCTATTGGACTTGACTTGACCTGACTTTGAAGCACCAATCCAGCCTGGGAGAGACAACTGACCTGCTGAATCGCCGTTCACTGCGGTGTGGGTATTGTTACTAGTTGGGTAGAGTATAGAGTGGTTCAGTATTCCTGTGAGAAGAGAAGATGCTACAGCTCCAAAAAAAAAAATAATAATAAAGAAATAAAATAAAGGAAAAAGCATAATAGACGTTCGATACACTCTCATTGAGAAAAAAACCCATCACAAATTCCCAACTATTCACAATGAACGTTTTTCTACTTCCTCCCCCGGTCCGGCCAGGTACCGAAGGAAAATACTTTACCTCTTCCCTGGTGCTGCCTCAGGACCCTTCTTACTTGCCTCTCTCCCAATGATCGCCTTCCTTTCCCCCTGTGGAGATTCGTCTCTACTACTAGTACCTACTAATAATAATACATTTAGTTAACAGAATAGCTTGGGGGATGGTGCAATAGAATTAAAATAAAATGACAAAAAAGTAATAATAGCAGCAAGTGGATGGTTGTCTTTCCTGGCTTTTTTGTGTGTCTCACTCCAACCCTTTATATTCTGGACTGTGACTGGCCGGGTGTGTGGGTGTGCCACAAGTTAGTGCGTGGGCTTTAGAATCCACCACCCATCTTTTAAGCCACTCTCAACTCCCACCTTCATTATTAACCGCCACACCCACGGTGTACAAGCGTACCTTGTAAGACTCTGCGTCGTGGTGCACGGGGCATCCTCTTAGCCTCCATCATGTATTGTCTGTCCATTTTAACTACCGATCCATCCGCTTTTATTTCCTGGTCGCCGGGTTTTTCGCTCCGAGTTTTCCAAGGTTCTTTTTTGGCTATATTTTCCCTCCTCGTAGGGATCGTTCCCAAATTACCGTCTCTTTACCGGAGCCAATCACTTTTCTTTTGTCCCTCGGTTCGGTTCCAAGGTACCGAAGATTAATAATGGTACGACATATAAACATTAGAATAGGAACTAGGTAAACAAGGGGATACCTTATCGATGACTATATATTTGAGATACAAAGAAAATGAATTTCTGTGACCGATATGTGTGAGTGTGTGTGAGTGTATTTGTGTGCGTATGTTGATCATTGTTTCACGGTCATCCTATTATGTTGGTAGTGTGGTGATCACCTCCAGGACTAGTGGCGATCGTATGTCGGTGGCTCCAGCTCGTACTGTGTAGTGCTGGCCCCGGTTATTACCTATCACACTACTTACCACTTGTGGTCAGGGGGCTGTACGGGCAAGGATGATGGACGAAGGGCGGAGAATATCGAGATGGAGGAGCGGGGAAGAGCAAAAAAAAAAAGTAAAAAAAAAAAGAAAAGAAAAGAAAGGTCATCGAGGACGAGGAGAATTCAAGAAACCAGATATCTAGATCTGGGCTCGAAGCTTGAAAAGCTCAACCTACAGAGTACATACATACAATGTACATCAATCATTCTTTCTTACCTAACAGCAGTGAAAGGCATCGGTGCATATTGGTATTGTACGCTGTATGTATAACATACAATACCCACGGCCAGATACACGCATGAGTGTTTCCTGGAACCCACGTGTATATGAGATCTTCCTCGTCAACTTCCACCACCTTTGGTTTCTAATGAAGTCTATTAAGGTCTCTGGTCACTTCGGATGAATCTCACTGGTCCTTATTCGAATTGTGATGGGGAGGTTCCAAACAAAAGCTTCATCGGCTAAATCTTACGAACCATTCTAGTGAGAAAGTGGCTCCCTCAGGTAGATAGGCATCACCGTCAAACGGTGGGGGAAGGGAAGTCTTGTCCTTAGGTCGACGGGGAGTAATAGCAATACCCAGTATTGACCTTACAGCGCTAAGGTCCCGCGGAACATCGACGGCGTCTTTAAGTCCAGAACTTAACGGTCGCGTGCGGGTACCATTAAGCAACTTATAAACCAATGATGGAGGCGATAGCTTGAGAAGGTTCCAGCAGGACCATTCCTCTTTGAGATCCCTCATGCGAGGCTGTAAAATATCTTGTCGAGGTTTAAAGGGCCGACAAGATGCCCGTTGCTTTCAGATTCAGAAGCCAGTTAGTGCCCGGTCGGGTGAAAGGTGGTCAACTCACAATCTCCTTCGTCAATCTGGTTAGTTATTGGTTTCATTGTGTATTAGTAACTTTTGCTGGCGCTGACCTGGCACTCTACGGTACTATGCACCGGTAATCATAGCGGGATGACATTAAGTAAGAAACTAGCCAGCATATGCGGCGGTAGTGTCTTTCCAATATCCACAATATAGACTGGACCTAAATTTCTCACATGGGAATGAAATATGTATTCCGGAGTAGTTAGGGGGAAATGGATCTTTCTTTTTCTATTTTATTTTTATTTTTTTTATTTTTTTTTTGTACTCAGCAACTGCCGGGCGACCGAGATTTGCTCATTTCCGATGCGCAGCCAGTTGAGGTGCATAGATCTCAAGCCTTCTTTGATTAACATTCGGCATACTCCCTAGTCTTAGCCCCGAAGTTGACAGCGAATTGTGGCGGCACCCAGCGATATAGAATTCCTATTCGGGTTAAGTGTCTCATGACCGTTTAATGGTTGTTGGAGTGCGTTGTGTACCCAGAATCGTAGTTATTCTGTAAGCTGCATGTTAGGGTTCCCCGGTTAACAGTCCAACTCGAATCTATATACTGCAGAAACGGAGCTAGACAATACAGTGAAATAGCAGGAAATTTTTCCCTATAATAGCTACTATACAATTACTATGTACATCGCACTTTAGACCAACGGTACACAGATACGCAGCAGAGGTGGAGTATATCAATACATATTGACAAAGCCAACCCCGGCATGAAGAAGTTGGTTTGCATTTCACTGTTACACTCAAAATAGACCTCCTAAAACTATATCTTAGTTGAGATTAACGGCCGACATAGTCCACCATAGACCACGAAAGCAACGCCCTTTCAGACAGGATATTCTAAACGCCACGCACAACCGTATCATTTTACACCCACTTACTTCGTACATCTATAAAAGGACAGGCTCTACGCCGTTAATTACCATCCATGATCATCAGCAGCGCACCGCCTGATGAGTAACTCCCGCTGCACAATGACTGCAGTTCACCGTCAGATGGACGACCCTTCCTTATGGTGCCGGGGGTTGCGGTAGTGAACGGATGACCCGACATCTGGTAAATTATGTTGTCGATACATGGCTTCCAAATAGCATTCCTTTCCAACCACCCCTTGCAGTTCATAGATGGTCTAGAGCTACAGCAGATGCAAATTAATAATCACCCTCCACATCCCCAGGCATGTGTGATATATAGTTTCGTGAACCGTAAGAGGATTGGCAATGTTGCAACGCTTGTGACTTTGATGCCTCAATCCTGGATTCCGCTCGTTGTCACTCGCCTGGTTGGTCGATCATCTGTCTAAGATCATGAGGGCAGGTGAAGCCGCAGGTGAGAGGAATGTATGATATATATATGTGCGGTCGGTACACATCTGGATCGGATGGATCAGTATTCAGGGGATATAGAAGTATATATCCATTTGGGTTGTATCAACAAGATGTACGAGATTACGCGTATCGTGCATACAAGAGAGGGGGGACTCGAGCTTTTATAGAAAGTCTACAGTTTCCCTGATAAAGATCCTTGACCGATAGACGGCGGGGTAAAAGTAAAAGCCAAGTCACGGGAGGGCGTCTGTGGTCCGCGTCACTTACCGTAACCACACAAGAGCCGCCGAAGAGTCACAATTCGGAAAGTGGGCAGTATCTGTTGCATAATTCGAGTCCTCGATTTGCTCTCCCAGCACCTTTCCCTCTACGCTCCCCGCCTATTTACCTGTGGTCCACGACTGCAGCCATGGCGTCCGATCTGACGAACCCCATTCTGGACGCCCTGTCCGCGTCCGACGCACCGATCGTTTCCAGCGAAGCTTTCCCCTCCCACCCCTCATTGAATGTTAAGAGTGCGCTTGATCGTCTGGGCTCGCGACAGATGGTCGAATATGAAACAATTGAGCGTGAAGTCGCTACCCTGACCAAGGAAGGTGAGGAAATCGCCGCCAATGGCAGTCATGAAGCCAAGGTTTTCCAAGCCGTTGTGGCTGCTTTGGAGGGGTTGAAGATCGGCGACTTGCCTGGTATTGTTGGAAAGGACAACGCCAAAGTTGGTCAGGGAAATGCTTTCAAGAGAGGCTGGATTAAGAAGGACGGGCAGTTGCTGCGGGCAAACACTGACTCTATTGTCGACGAGACTCGCGAGCAGTTGTTGACTGTCAAGAACACTCAGACTCTGGAGGACCAGAAGGCCCTCAATGATTTGAAACGTCGAAAGTTGGTCGCCTTCCAGAAGGAACTAAACTTCAAGATCTCCAAGGGCCCCAAGTTCGCCAAGGAGTTTGTTAAGGAGGAGACCGATCTCACGGCCGAGATGCTCATGAACGGTTCGTGGAAGACAGCTCAACTTAAGCCCTACAACTTCAAGGCTAAGGGTGCTACCACCCCTTCCGGTGCTTTCCACCCTCTCAACAAGGTCCGTCAGGAGTTCCGTAATATCTTCTTCGAAATGGGCTTCGAGGAGATGCCTACCAACCGCTTCGTGGAGACCGGATTCTGGAATTTCGATGCTCTCTTCGTTCCTCAGCAACATCCCGCTCGTGACCTTCAAGATACTTTCTACATCTCAGACCCTGCCAAGGCAGACCCCCCTCGCGAGGATCCCGCCTTCGACCCTCACCGTCCGAAATCCATTCAGCCCGCCTCCGCGGCATCCCAGGAGAAGCCGCTCGACTACAAGCAATACTGGGAGGACGTCCGCGAGGTCCACGAACACGGCAAGTACGGTTCGATTGGCTATCGCTATCCCTGGAGCGCAGACGAGTCATTACGGTTGGTCCTCCGCACACACACGACGTCAGTCTCGACATATGTCCTTCACAAGCTCGCTGCCAACCCACGGCCCGCAAGATATTTCAGTATCGACCGAGTGTTCCGTAACGAGGCTGTTGATGCCACCCACTTGGCTGAGTTCCACCAGATCGAGGGTGTTATTGCCGACTTCGGTCTTACCCTGGGTGGTCTGATCGGCTTCATGGAGGTCTTCTTTGCTAAGATGGGCATCCACCAACTGCGTTTCAAGCCCGCCTACAACCCTTACACCGAGCCTAGCATGGAGATCTTCGGTTACCACGAGGGTCTGGGCAAGTGGGTTGAGATCGGTAACAGCGGTATGTTCCGTCCGGAGATGTTGGAGCCTATGGGCCTGCCCAAGGATATGAGAGTCTATGGATGGGGTCTGAGTCTCGAGAGACCTACCATGATCAAGTAAGTGAATTGTGCACACTTGTGATGAATTAAACGCTAACAAGCCCCGCAGATACGGAGTCAGCAACATCCGAGAACTCCTGGGTCATAAGGTCGACCTTAACTTCATCGAGACCAACCCAGCGGTTAGGTTGGAGAAGGATTAGACGATCTTATAAAGATGGATGGATATTATTAAAACCCTAAGACTCAGATCATATAAATGATATCATGTGTTTAGAGCTATCAAAAAGAATTACGATGCGCATTGAATGAGACACGCTACAACGAGCCCCTGAAGTAAATCAAATATTCCGTCAAGCAATGTATCTTTGATATTCAACAACTGAGACAGATAGCAAATCTACTAATACTGATAGTATGTCCCACCCGTATCTGTGCCCCAGCGCACGGCTCTGCAACAGTGGCTCTTCAGTAGGCGGACGTGATATTCGGCGGATGGATGTTACTTTCTACCTCCTCGCTCATGGGGGCCAGATAGATGTTTTGTACTTCCAATCTGTGAATGAGGAGGTCTTGACGTGCCGATGGAACACCCTGAAGGACAGGAGAATAAGGAAACAGAGACTAGAAAGCGGATTACAGAGCAGACACCACCACAGCGAAACCCTGGCGGGCAACGAAACAACCGCGAAAGAAAAGAAAAAACAAAATTGAAATTTAATGGACTGATTTTGATTGATTTGATTGGTCTGTATGAAATATCTTCATTCATTTATCTTAAATCATATCCGACATACCCATGGAACTGGTATATCAGCCTGCACAAGACGAAAGACCCCATTAGCCTCTGGACACTCCCGAAAACCACAAATGATATATGAGCCGGAGAATCTTACCATCGACCAAATCACACCGCACACCTTAACCCAATTAAATAGTCCATTTACCGGGAGGCGGTCCACACGTTGCGGAGGTATCCATCACGCTGGGTGAGGCGGTTCAGGGAGTCATCGCTCTCACCGCGGGCACGGATGAAACCGCAAAGGGCGTAGGTCTGGTTCTCGCCGGTGTAGCGGCCGTTCTCGTCAACCTTGCCGATGGAGATCTGGACGGAGGCGTGGTCGTTGGCCTTGATGATGCGGTTGGTGGCGCTGCACTTGCGGGGCACGTAGCTGGTTGAAGAGAGTTATGTTAGTTTTGCTCATCTAGATATTATCTTTTTTTCTTTTTTTTCTTTCTCTCGCTCCTTGTCCATGCATGTGGTTTGGTAATTGGGGGATTTCAGATAATTTTGTAGATTTGGAAAGAATATGCTGCGCCTCCGAGGAAAAAAGTGAGGGAAATAAGTCGCTTGAATTGCGACTGGGTGGGTTTTTCCTATCGGCGTCTTTGCTTTCCATCGAATTCGCAGTCATATTCAACTTCCTCTTGCTCATATCCGAAATTGTATCCCAAAACCAAAACCAGATCACAGATTGGGTGGATTTATGGGCAGTGCAACGTACAGATCGACAATCTCTCCCTTTTCGTTCTCCATTTTGGCGGTTTGTTAGTCTGGTTGACGACGGTGGAAAATTGGAGGTGCGCTGGCGGGTTGAACGGTCGTGAAATTCCGCGACTCTTTTGGGCGTTTCCTTAGTCGACGGTTGTGTGGGTCATGTGATCTTTTGTCGAGGGTTGATCTTGCCTGTGTGGCTGTGGCTGCGTGGCTGGTGGGCTATAGGGTTACCTGTTTGGGGTTGGTACAGTACCGGTTCTACTGGTGTATTGTGTAATTTATCGCTATCTTCAAAGTATTTATGAAGGTTTGTATGATGCATGTATGGGGGTATGTACACAGATACCGTCAAGCTCTATCAATCAATCATAAACTGCTTCTCTCTGTATCCTCTGAGAAGACGTCTTTCTTCCACCGCACCTCCACTTGCCGGGCTGTTCCCTTTGCGAACTTCACCAGTACAACCCTGTCGGGCTCGCCCTTTCTATCTGTACCTTTCAGTTCTGGCCCAGGATGATCTAATGCCAGAACTGTTCGTCCATCGGACAACATTTTGAGCATCTTGGGGGATATGCACTTCTCTGTCCATGGGGGATTGCCCGTATGGACAAAATCAGCCAGCCCTGCCCGTCGTCTTCTTAACTCGTCCACAGAATTGCCTGTCTGAGGCGCTTGATCTAGGAACTGTGACACCAGATGTAATAAGAGAATTTGTGGTGGGAACATAATGACTTCCCCACTGCCTGCCAGCCGGAGCCATTCAGATGCAGGTAGGAACCTAGCTTCGGTGACTTCAATACCGCCGTCACTCGTAGGGATCTGGATTTCCTCCCGTTCTCCTTCGGCAGGAAGTTCGCTGAGGAGCGACTTGTCTGACTCAAAAGGCAAGGGCAAAAAGTACAAATACATCTGGGTAGAGTATCGCTTTGGCACATTTGTAGGGGTAATCCATCGTGTGAACGGAATCAATTGCTCTTTAGGACGAATGGTTAGCAGGGACTAGGGCTATATACCGCAGTGGGTATTTGAACCTGGTTGGCATTCGAACCTGTGTCTGGGACTGCGGCAGGATCCTGTTGCTTCAGCCACTCGGTGAAAGTCACTTCATTGCGATGGATTTTCTTTCTGCCTTCTTCTCTTTTCCGTTCCGGGACTGCTAGCATCTTCCCGGATTTCTGATCCTTAGCGAGGAGGATGCCACTCTCTTCGAAGAGCTCTCGGAGAGCGGCATTCCTATACCAGATGGCATCATCATGTCTTTTTGGATCCTCTACTGGTGGGCACTTTCCATCTTGATCAGATAGATTGCCCCCCGGGAAGACATGAGCCGATGCAAATGACGTGGACGTTTTGACGCGATGAAGCAAAAGTACTTCGTTTTTAGGTGAGATTAGTACTATACTAGGTTTCATTAGCTATCCACTCTGGCAAAGACATAGTTACATATAGTGATATCCGAATGTATGAGCGTCCTGACTGTTCTATGCTGAAATACTCTCGTGATGATGGAACGGCTAACCAACCTTGAACTCGGCCTCGGGATTGACGGTTTTGGCTTTGGCTTGGGACCATCCTTCTGCGCTGCCATCTTTCCAGACGCGGAGGTGCTTTGAACTGTTGCAATGGATGAATTCCCTCTTACAGCATGCGCTTGGATATAATGGTGATTTGTAGGCCGGCGTTGCATAACCAAGAATGGGGTTCGAGCAAAGGTCAGCCGATAATGGAGACACTTGTGTATTAACCGGGGCATTGACACATGAGCAGTCATGGCTGAAGCAGCCGAGGTGTACCGGAGGAGCTTCCTTTTCAAAGAAGGGGCGTGAATAAGGATTGAGTATTATTACTGGAGTACCACCACATCGTACTATGAGTACTACCTAACTGGCCACTAGGGAGTAGGATGTACTAAGATTGAGGAGTTCCGGGGACTGGAACCTAGGCTCATGCATTGCCGTCAGGTCAGCTTTACCCCGCCCGTAACGCGGTCGCTTTAGGCCTAGACGATCGCCGGTCTCCGAGGACGACGCTACTCCTACAACTTCGAACACTGAGGGTCAAATGCTACGACTACAAAAGGATTTCAAGAACTATAATGTAGGTGTTTCTCAATATGGAGTACAATCAACTCCATTATGAAATGAATTGGTGAATGGAATAATCTTGACCAACAAGAAAAGCAATATCCACACATCGAACTCCAGAACCTCATACCCATACTTTTTCCATTTATTTTGTTTCATGCAAACCATGCGTTATCATGCAAATATATCCTGAATATCAGGATAGCTCATAACGAGAATATTAAACGTGGGCCTTCGCGATTTAAGAGTAGAGCTTCTTGTCGAAGCTGTGCAGACCGTGGACGTTACCCTCGGCCATGGCACTGGCGCTTCTCATTTCGAATCGGACGGTACCCTTGTTAACACCCTCGTGGAGAGCCTCGAGACTCTGCACACCGATATCCTGCAGAGAGTGCTGCACACCGGCAACAAGGTAAGGAACGAACTTGGTGACAGAGCCACGGTCAAGGACAGAGCCCGCAACACCCTGAGCAACAAGGACGCGGTCCTTCTCAGAGAAGTAACGGGCGGTACCGGCGTTGCTAGCCTTGCTGTCCTTAGAGCCGGCGCCAGCCTTCTTATCCTCCATGGCAGCGATACTGCCCATACCACGGTAGGCCTTGACAAGCTGGCCCTCGTTGCTGACGAAGTACTCGCCGGGGGACTCAGTGGTACCGGCAAGGAGACCACCCATCATGACAGTCGAGGCGCCCATGGCAAGACCCTTGACAATGTGGCCAACATTCTGAACACCACCATCAGCGATAGTGGGAACACCGAAGCGAGCAGCGAAAGAAGAAACGCTGCGGACGGAGATAGCCTGAGGACGACCGACGGCCATGACTTCCTGGGTGATACAAGCACTGCCGCTGCCCATGCCAATTCTCAGGCCATCGGCACCGGCTGCAATCAAAGGTGCAGCTTGCTCCCGAGTCACAACATTACCAGCAATGACATCAATATCGGGGTGAGTCTTCTTGACGTACTTGATCATCTCGATCTGGTACATACTGTTGCCCTGGCTGCTATCCAGAACAACAATGTCAAGACCAGCATCAGCAAGCAGCTGAAGTCTGCGCTTATCTTCCTCACGAGTACCGATAGCAGCAGCGCAGATCAGTTGCTTGGACTGAGGAAGCTTAGACGCAAGGGGGTAGTGAAGGTTCTTCATCAGATCGCTGCGGGACAGCAGAGAGACCAGGTTACCATCCTTGTCCACAATGGGTAGCTTTCCCTTCTTCGAGGAACGGAGGACTTCGTTGGCCTCGGCGAGAGTGGTACCAGCGGGGGCGGTGACAAGGTCAGTGGACATGATAGCAGTGACTGGGTCCTCGGGTTTGGGGTGGAACTGAATGTCCCTGGAGGTGACAATTCCAACAAGCTTAGACCGAAGATTTCCGCTTTCTGTAGGCACATCCAAGTTAGACGGTGCTATTTTCACGCAAGTTTCATAACAACTCGAGGAAATATGAACATCAGATAAATCTGTTTCTCTACAACGCAACTCTCGTCGCTCCAGTGGAACGAAAGTTATAATGAAGATAGACGAAAATCATCACACGAAATATACCAGGCCGGGTGAACACGATGAAAAGAAAAATGGATGCTTACCAGTAACAGGGAAGCCACCGAATCCCCACTTGCTCTTGAGCTCCTTGGCTTCTCCGACAGTAGCATTAGGAGAAAGAACAACGGGGTCCAAGATGAAGCCGTTCTCATAACGCTTCACCTTCCTCACCATCTCCGCCTGGTCTTCAGGAGAGCAGTTGTGGTGAATTATACCCAGACCACCCAGAAGAGCCATGTGGATCGCCATGTTGTGTTCGGTGACGGTATCCATAGGCGAAGAGAGGAGAGGGGCCTTCAGGGAGACACGCTTGGTGACCGGGGTGTCCAAAGTGACATCCGACGCAGGGAAGCCTGTCATAGACATGAATAACTGGAAGTTATGGACGGTTCAGAAATCGTCCTTACCGATGTAACCAGGCAAGATGAGGAAGTCATTGTAAGTCAATGCTCCGTGCTTGTCCGAATCGAGCAAGGTATCAACATCAAGACCATCTCTGGAGGTATAATCCTTCTCCAGAACTTCGAGGGCCTTGGTGTGGTCCTGGATCTCAGCCTTCATGGCACGGCCAAGTGCATCACCGTTAGAGATAGGCATTTTGAAAGAAATAAGACTCTACGGTTTGAATGATAACACGTAGAGATCAAATAGAGATAAAAGATAATCAACAGATCGTGACAAACGTTCTGTTGATGGAGAAAGTCTTCCTTTCCCAAAGGAAAGAAAGAAGAAAAAAGGAAGAAAAACTGGAGGAGCAAAAAATTGGCTTTTGTATCTTTGCCGCACAAGCTAACGATTCTTTCAGAAAATTCCGGAACAGGCTTAGCGGATCCACCTGACCCCTTTGCCATTAGACTGATTGGCTGATAAACGAAATCTCTTCTAAGGTGGTGAGAGGATGGGTGGCATTAGATTTGCTGAGGTAAGCTGTACTAATCGCTGAATTTTCTTGCCATGTCCCAGCGGGGCATAGATCGTGTGTGTATGTCGCATGCGAGTGCGAAGTGCCATCATTAGCTGCATCTTAATAGATAGATAAGAGTCGAGCTGGTTCTCAGTAGTACTAGTAGTACTTGACGCTAACTTTCAATTTCCAATATGCCCAATCTCAGTGCCTTAATCTACTATAGAGTCGTTGAATGAAACTTCTATTTACTCTTTTCCGGTAGAATGAATGTACACCTTACTAGACCCCTTACTATGGATTTGTCATCGTTAAATCCTTGACGCGGTTATAGACCCTATTCATTTTTTCAAATAGATAATATGTAAATCACCATGGCCTTACACCAATCATACCCCCTAGCCCTGGGTGACAAAACTTAATTGAATCTTGCAGATAAAGAACTGAAGTCAAGCGCAATTTGAGTCAATGTTGTTACACACATCTTGACTCTTGTAAACCTGATACGCTTCTTCCTGGTGGAATAATGAGATCTTCCTTGATAGCTTATTTGCATTTCGGTCCGTTCAGAGTGTTTCACTATACGTGGTTATTGCAATATCATGCCACCAGTAGTATGGCTACAACTGAACGGGCTACACAGCACCTGCATCTTCCCAACAATGGAGTATTCATGTCACCTTCCACAACATGATGGTATTTCGGCATGAAACTTCTCTAATTCTCTTCGGCCTTCCGCCCAAACAACACCATGATGCCTGGATTCATTACCCCGGGCGTATTTAAGGCCATAGTGGACAAGCTGCTTCTCGCTACGGGTGTATCCTATTGCGCTTCGCCGCTCTGTATGTTCTGGGCAGTGGTCCTTGATCTGCTGGCCTCCCGTTATCTAGTATAGGCATCCTGTGCGCCAATGAGACTCCTTAGGATATGCTTCCAGTATGTATAATGTATACTACGCGTCGCATTCCCATTGCCTTAAAAGGCAAATGAAGCAAGGAGAAGTTGTATTTATTTTTGCAACGCAGCAAGCAGTAGGTTAAATTACCTTCTTAATACACAAGCCATGGCGTCGCTTGTGAGAGAGCATGATCCCATCCATTATCATTGATCCAAATGGCAATGCTCTCCACCTCATCCTTCCCCAACTTCAGACCATTGTATAGATGCTGTGGCTGGAATCAACAAACATTGTTTGCCAGGCATAGTTGCAAGAAAGAACCAGAACTGGCAATCGTTGCGATTTGGACTTACCGGGAACAAGCCCTCTTCCGGTCTCGGCCCGCATACGGTGCCCTCGGGATTTTCCCAACGGAGATTCTCAGCTATACGCTCGTACGGAATCCGGAGAACATAAACAAGGGGTTCGTCTTTGAAGAATAACTTCAGCGTGTTCGGCACCTGAAATGCAGTAGAGAGGTGAATGAAACCCGACTGTTGGTCGAGTGCACTGACGGGGAGTTGCTCTGGGAGGGGTTCTCGAACGGGTGCTGTGGACGGCACAAGTTTATAGATATAATAAGGAGTTTTGTCTGTCATTTTTCTGGTTATCCGTTGGCTCGCAAGTTCAGAATGGCAGGTGAAAAGTAGATAGATAGCAGTATGTTGTTTTACTCGTTGAAGAATAAATATTGCGGACTGGCCGGCGATCTAAAATGATAAGATCGGGAGCGAGTTAGTGGAACCACTGCAGTCAGTCTTACCTAAGTGAAGGATGATTAACTAACTCACCACTTCCCAAGGTTTGATCATAGTATTTACGGGATAAACCCCTCCAGAGTCACCTGAGTGTTATTAATCCCTGGATCAATTGGTGATTGACTTCGGAGTGAAATTGGCTAAGACAATCAGGTGCTTGTCAAGGTATCAAGTCCTGGTAGCAACCTTACGAAGTACCTTGGGCATGCCATATAAAATTATTGCAGAGCGCTTCGCGTTCCGCAAACTAAGCTATGCTAAGTTCTCCATAACCCTTGGAAATCATCAATTTACTATGACTTGACCCAAACGTGTACACGGTAGGTATCACGGCATATAGCACAGTTATACTTCTATCTAGTATGTGTCGTCTAAACTTTGGGGGCTGGATCTAATTTGGTGCATATTGTAGTAACTATACATATATTTTGTGTTATAATTGGAAGTTTGTGTCCTATCATATCCAATGCCATCTTTATTCCGTTCTCCGTACAGATTTAATTATAAAAGAGCTCAAGTATTTACGACCTGACATGTGACGAGTCCTGCCCACGTTCGTTGTCCTGCATGGTGAAAAAAATGCCGACGGTGGGTCAGTAGTAATGGGCTGGTAGGAAGCGTGGTTCAATGATAGACTCACATGTGTACATCGCCTTATACAGTTTAGAACTTGGCCTATATTCAATTGAACGTCCGTACTATGTGCGTCGAGCGAAACGTGCTTTTCAAGTCAATATTTGTGCTAGTAATCAGATTATTCCTTTTTGTTTTTTTTTTTTTTTATTGGGTATCTGAAGGGCCAGACGGTGGCACATGAGCCGATCGGTGGCTAGGATGATCGACGTCACCAGATAGGAAACTGTGGCGTATCACCCTGGAGCGCCAACTATACCCGATCTGGAGATTTGTTTTCGTCGCTGGGGCTGGGAGGCACTTTCCACTTGGTTTACTTTCCCTCACTCCCCGCTTCTCCATCACCACCACCATCAATCGTCAGTTCAGTTATTGATCTTGCGACGAATACTAAATTTAGTGGGAAGTCGTGAACTTTGTCGGGTTAATCATACCTGCGAGTCTAAACCCACGTTTCTTGGGCGGATTTCACATTCTCTGTCTCTTTTCCGATTGCCTTCTAATCAGGTACCGTCAGGAACGCAGAGAAATCCATCCCGTTTCTATATCAACCCGGTTCCCCTTCCCAATTCTTTCCGTTCCCACGGGGCAATGCCGCTCCTCCCTTGAATTAGCATTCCATCCCATTTAACTCAACAGTTGGTCACTCGGCCAGATTGCTGCTTCGGTTGAGAGGCAGGTATGCGGCCAATTGAAGCCGAGACTGCTCTATTTTCTTTAGGTTTTGCATTCTTCAGTACGAAACGGTACCAGTGATGTCAAGCCACTCGGCCTCTCTCCGACGTACTCAGACGGATTTTCCAACACAAACATCGAGTCCACTTCGCCATGGCTCAACCGCATCCACAAATTCGTCTATATACTCAATATCAACCGATTCGCTAGCTCCCAGTCGCACGAGTACAGTGTCCTCCACGGGATCCATGGGCTCCACACCCAGCTTTGGACATAAACGTGGAAAGAGTGAAGTAAACACCATGAGTACCGACAGATTCAAGGCTGATCCGAGCCGTTGGTCAAACGCCGGGACAACATACGAAAGCGTCCGCCGCTCACTACGGCCGCTCTCACAAGCCCCAAACGCTTCTACGCCCGCAGTTAAGCAAGTCGCCTACGGCCATTCGAGAAACCGGACGATAGACAACCCCCAGTTCTGGAAGGAGAACCGCCCTCAAACCCCTGAGCGCCGCAATTGTTATCATGGAGAAATTGAATCGCTGAAGGAGATTGAGTCGCATGATTTGTATGCACCTCCATCTCCCAGGTCGCCGCACGATTTCAGTCCTCTTGCTGTTTCGCCTCAGACACGGTCCCCAATCAAGACGCAGCATTCTCATAGCTTGTCCACACCACAACCACCTCCATTAACCACCACACTGTCTACACCTGAGCTAGAAACCTTCCAAAAGTCGTCGACTGGACATTTGCGCACATTATCCAAAATTGCACAATCGGGCGAAACGGAGGAATTTGCCTTAGACAGCCCTTCCGTGGTGGGCCTGCTGGGACGACGGCGCTTGAAGCGTACTGATTCAGTGGCCGGCTCGGGCAGCGGGAATATTAATCGAAGAAAAAATGCATCATCATGGGCTGCCGGAAACTGGATGGATAAGCAACGGCAATTCTTGCAGGCCTATGAGTATTTATGTCATATTGGAGAAGCCAAGGAGTGGATTGAAGAAGTCATTCACAAGCAAATCCCGCCGATCGTTCAACTGGAAGAAGCCCTCCGAGATGGCGTAACGCTCGCAGAAGTGGTTCAAGCAATGTATCCAAACCGCACGCTACGAATTTTCAGACATCCCAAGCTGCAGTATCGCCATTCAGATAATATAGCACTATTCTTCCGATTCTTAGACGAAGTCGAACTTCCGGAGCTTTTCAGATTTGAGCTGATTGATCTATACGAAAAGAAGAATATCCCCAAAGTCATTCACTGTGTCCACGCACTATCATGGCTGTTGTTCAAAAAGGGCCTTGTTGACTTTCGGATGGGCAACCTCGTTGGACAATTGGAGTTCGAACATCATGAGCTTGAACAGACGCAGAAAGGTCTCGATAAGGCAGGAGTCAGCATGCCTAGCTTTAGCGGCATGGCCGCGAATTTTGGGGCCGAACCCGAACCTGAGCCCGAGCCCGAGCCCGAGTCTGAGGAAGATCGAATTGAGCGAGAGTTGCATGAAAATGAAGCTTCGATTGCCGACTTCCAGGCTCAGATTAAAGGTGCTATGCTGCGACTGAAGCTGGGAAATCTAATGAATGGCCTGTGGGATTTTGAGCCTCTGCTTATCGATCTGCAATCAAGGATAAGAGGGGATTGGACCCGCCAAATCGTTCAATATCGCCTAGACATGCGTGCGTTTGCCGTGAATCTTCAGGCAATCTGTCGAGGTTTTATTGTACGATCCCGCCAGACATATGACATGGAAAATTACCGGGCCCAGGAGCACGGTATACTACAGCTGCAGACAATTATAAGAGCCTCCAAGGCGAGGAATCAAGTGCAATTCCTTCAAAGTCAAATGCGAAAGGAAGAATCGGGGATTAAAGAGATACAGGCTGCCATAAGAGGAGCCTTGCAACGTAAGGCTGTCAGCGCTCTCTACTACGACACCAGAGGCGCAGAGGATCATGTTCGGTTATTACAGGCCGCCATCCGCGGTGCCTTGCAACGCAAGTCTGTTAACGCTCTTTATAACGATATCAGAAATGCGGAGGACCAAGTTCGGTTATTGCAGAGCGCCATCCGGGGTGGCCTACTGCGGAACAAGCTTTCAAAGCAATGCGAAGAGATAAAATCCGCTGAAGATGCCATCAGAGACCTCCAGTCTCTCATTCGAGGCTCTTTCATACGACAGCAGATGAATGCACAATATGCTGATATGGACAGCGTTCAAGAAAAGGTGGAATTGCTGCAGGCAGTAATTCGAGGCTCGCTGGCTCGGAAGTCTTTATCTCAAGTGAGAGACTTGCTTGCTCAAGAGGCTCCTTCAATTATAGCTGTTCAATCAGGGATGAGAGCCTTGGCAGTGAGAAAGCAGCAGTCACGGCTTGCAGAAGCCCTCGGAAAAGCAGAAGGTCGATTTATCGTGTTGCAAGCCATGGCTCGTGGCAACGCCGTAAGGGAACAGCTTGATTCACTGCGCGAGGAGTTGATGGAGCATGTACCATTGCTTATCAGTCTCCAAAGCATACTCCGAGGGAGAGCTACCCGGTCCTTCTTGGACTCTCAAATGAAGGAACTGAGTGATGAGGAACCGTCAATCCTTGAATTGCAGTCGAGGGCCAGGGGTTCTCTTGTGAGAAGACGCCTAGAAGCTGATGCTGAAGCACTGCAGGTAGAGGAACTTAGGATTATTAACCTGCAGGCCCTCGCCCGAGCTGCAGTTCTGAGGATTGAGGTTGGTGGTATACTTGAGCAACTCGATGACTGCGAGGATGAAGTCAGCCAGCTACAGGCGCACATAAGAGCGATGCTTGTTCGAGTAGAAGTCGGACAATCATTGGCCGATCTCGCTGCCGAAGAGGACGTCATTACAGACCTCCAGTCACACATACGAGGGCACATAATAAGATCGAAGTTTGAGGAGAAGCGTCGATACTACCGAGTGAACATGGAAAAGGTTATTAAGGCCCAAAGCTTTGTGCGAGGTAGGATTCAAGGCCAGGCATACAAGAGTCTCACAAGTGGGAAAAACCCACCCGTCGGAACAGTCAAAGGCTTTGTACATCTGCTAAACGATAGCGAATTCGATTTCGACGAAGAGATTGAATTCGAGCGGATGAGGAAGCTGGTAGTTCAGCAAGTTCGTCAGAATGAGCTGGCAGAACAATACATCAGCCAGCTTGACATCAAGATTGCTCTCTTAGTGAAAAACAAAATCACATTAGATGAGGTCATTAAGCACCAGAAGCACTTTGGCGGTCATGTTGGAAGTCTATTGCCGAACAGAGAAATCGCGTCAAAGGACCCCTTCGATCTGAAAGCATTGAACAAAACATCGAGAAGAAAACTTGAGCAGTATCAAGTCTTTTTCTTCCTTCTGCAGACGCAGTCTCAGTACCTTGCCAAACTTTTCCGAAGGCTGCGTGAGCTCAATACATCAGAAAAGGAGTATGAGAGGATTCGACACTTGATGATGGGTCTCTTTGGGTATTCTCAAAAGAGGCGCGAGGAGTACTACTTAATCAAGCTGCTGGCTCGCTCTGCACGTGAAGAAATTGAAAGTTTTGACTCCCTCCACGATTACCTGCGCTGCAACTCTTTCTGGACTAAGCTCTTCGCATCATACATGAAGTCTCCACGCGACAGAAAATTCATGCGTGATGTATTGGGCACTGTTGTGAAAGAGAACATTATTGACAACCGAGACTTGGACTTGGAAAGTGATCCTATACAGATCTATCGCTCGGCCATCAACAACGAAGAACTCCGCACTGGTAAACAGAGTCGTCGGCGTTTGGACATCCCGCGTGAAGAAGCAATCAGGGATCCTGAGACAAGAGCAACTTTTATCCAACATTTACAGGATCTCCGCGACATTGCCGATCAATTCTTCACAGCGTTTGAGGAACTTCTATACCGTATGCCTTTTGGAATTCGGTATATTGCGAAGGAGATGTACGAAAGCCTCCAGTCCCGGTTTGCTGGAGATGACCTAGGCTTCATCCTTCAAACAACTGGACATTGGGTGTGGAAGAATTACTTCCAGCCGGCGCTTATTGAACCCGAAAAGCACGGAGTTGTTGATCGCGGCCTGACGCAGGAGCAAAAGCGAAACCTCTCTGAGATCGCGAAAGTGATTGCGCAGGTGGCTTCAGGGAGACTTTTCGGCGCCGAAAATGTTTATCTTCAGCCTTTGAATAGCTACATTGGTGATTCGATCCAACGTCTTGGCCACATTTGGGGCGGCAGTAAGTAATTGATGCCTCTAATTCGATGCCATAGTAGCTAACTATTACGCAGTGATCTCAGTACAAGACGCTGAAGCTTATTTTGATATTGATGAATTCAATGATCTCTACGCTAAAACGAAACCGACATTATACATCAAGTTATCCGATATCTTCTCTATTCATCAACTTGTGGCATCGGAAATACACTATATTTGCCCGAACCCCGATGACATTCTAAAGGAGGTTATTCGCGATCTCGGAAACGTTAAATCCAATGAAAATGAATTGATGAGTGTGAACACCTCAGAGATCAGCCTCACTCTGAACCCCAAGCTTGCACAGGTTGAAGGTAGGAAACCGCCTCCGCCGATTGTCCCAAGGCTAGTACTGACAAGATGAATGTAGATCCGGAGGCTGATGTGAAAGCGTTATTTATGGAAACAAAACGATGCATCCTCTATATCATACGGGTTCAGTCAGGCGCTAACTTGATGGAAATTATGGTCAAGCCCCCGACTGAGGAAGACGAAGAAAAGTGGATGACATTGGTCCGGGACGAACTGAGTGCGAACAACACGAGAAGAAGCGCTTACTCTGAGGCACATACAATGGTGGATATTGCGTCCATGACTTATTCGGAGTTGAAGCGAACTGCGCTCGAAAACATCCTTCGGCTTGAACAAACTGGAAAGATCCGTCGAGACAACCACTATCAGGATTTGTTAAATGCCATTGCCATCGATATCCGAACCAAGCATCGTCGCAGAATTCAGCGTGAGAGAGAACTGGAAAGTGCTCGTTCAACACTGGCCCGCCTCAACGATCAAGCCGGTTGGTTAGAGCAGCAGTTCAAGACATATAATGACTACATTGAGCAGGCAATGGTGACATTGCAGAACAAAAAGGGGAAGAAACGGTTCCTCTTGCCATTTACGAAGCAGTGGGATCACCAACGCGAGCTCCAGAAATCAGGCAAGGTGTTCAAGTTTGGTTCCTACAAGTATTCAGCTCGTAACTTGGCAGACAAGGGTGTTTTAGTTCACTGGAAGGGCTATACGGAACGTCAGTGGGACCGAGTTGACCTGACCATTTCCAGCAACGAAGTCGGTGTGTTCACTATTGATGGCAGTAGTGGCCCAATGATGGTCCCTGGAGCGAACGCGCAGGTGCCACTGGATGACTTGCTGCAAGCCCAGTTCAACAACATGCAGTTCCTGGACTTCTTTGACGGGCATCTACGAGTCAATGTCAACCTTTTCCTGCATTTGATCATGAGGAAGTTCTATAACGAATGATCCCCATGTAGGGTGGTGCACTCTTTTTGGCTTCTATTTCATTGTCCACTTTCTTTTTCTTTTCCCTACTCTTCTGGTTTCACCTATGATATCCCCTTTCCTATTGATGAAATGTCACGCATGAAAAAGGAAAAGGCACATTCGGCATGACGTATATAGAAAACACAACATGCAGGATCCAAGCCAATTCTCACTGTGTTATGTTCCCTCGATGATTACCCCTTGTTTTGTTGACGTTATGTCCTGACTTTCCTGAGATGACTACCCTCTACATTTCTACACGTTACCCCTGTTATGATGATTATGCAGACGATTTTATGTATGTATTTGAGTAGTGTTTAGTACATGACGATATATGTGTTTCGATTGTAATCCTATCACCAGTAAATACATCTCTAGGAGGAGCCCGTCCGTTAATCAAGCTGTAACAAATACTATGATGTCGACGTCTGCTCTGAGCTCAGGGGCTGCCACGTGACCTGGCGGTTGGCTTGGAGCCCAACGGCGTTGCCAGGTGGATTGATTCCTCGACTCCCGCATCATCCAACCCTCTACGAATTCCCTACTCTTGTCTCTCTCCATATTTTTGATCCGATAAATAGTGCGCAATATTGCACTCGTGCTGATTGCGTTATGGATCTGTCCAATATCAAGGAGCAAGTCAGCAACCTGACCTTGTATGACCTCAAGGCGGGAGTCCGCAAGGTCCAGAATGGTAAGTCCCGCATAATTCCCCCGATTAAATTGATATACGTGCCTCCCACCGCGCGATATGACACTGTATCAAATATACTGATAGTCGTAGCTGTCATGAATTATACTGAGATGGAGGCTAAGGTCTGTGCCACCAATTCCCAAATTCCGTCCTCTGCCGATCCTCTACAGAACTATACATACATGCATACGGAATGGCTTTCAACTGCAGTCACTTATGCTCAGTAGGTCCGAGAAGCTACAAACAATGAGCCTTGGGGTGCCTCAACCACATTGATGCAAGAAATTGCCAACGGAACTCACAGCTAGTCAGTAATTAACTTGTTCGTTTATACAACTAGCCGGTTGCTAACCAATGTACTGGGGAGTGCAGCCAGCTACTCAATGAAATCATGCCGATGATCTACAAACGCTTTACAGACAAGACTGCAGAGGAGTGGCGACAGATCTATAAGGTAGGACTTACCGGACCAGTTAGTTTTCTATAGAAGGTATCTAATCCGATGATCCTTGAAACTGCAGGCGCTTCAGCTTTTGGAGTTCTTAGTTAAGAACGGATCGGAACGAGTTGTTGACGATGCGCGGTCTCACATGTCCCTTCTACGAATGCTTCGCCAGTTCCACTTCATCGATCAGAATGGGAAGGATCAAGGTATTAATGTGCGCAACCGATCGTCAGAGTTGGTGAAGCTTCTCGGGGATGTGGATCAGATTCGTGCAGAAAGGAAGAAGGCCAAAACTAATCGTAATAAGTTTGGTGGCTTTGAGGGTGGATCCCATATGGGAGGAGGGATGTCAAACTCCAGGTACGGGGGCTTTGGAAGTGACAGCATGTCGTTTGGCGGGTACAGCGGGGGTGTCTACGGTGATGGAGGTGGGTTTGGTGGCAACACAAGCGACTTCCAGGATACCGGCCGACGAGGCAACCGATTCGAAGAATACGATGAATATGACGAAGCAGATGCCAGTCCGCCGCCACGACGTGCAGCAAGCCCGCCTCGTGCTCGATCGACAAAGCAGCCGGAGCCGCCGAAACCCAAAGCACCCGAGCCGGACCTTTTTGACTTTGGAGAGGAAGAGGTGGTCGCAACGGCTTCTACCAGTGCCGGCAAGAGACCTGCAGGCAGTAACGGCTTAGATGTGCTCGATTCCAAACCCATCGACGACGACGACTTCGATGATTTCCAGTCTGCGACTCCCGCACCAGCGGCATCGAACCAATTCTCTATTCCTCCACCAGCGAACACTGTGAGCACCACCTCAAGCACCCAGTTTGCTGCGCCGAAGCCAGTGTCCGCTACGCAAGGAACCAATTTGAACGGCCTTGTTGGGTTTACCTCAATGACTCCGACTCCTACTTCGAGTACAATGGCATCCCCAACACTGTCGCAGAGCTCTATGGTGCAGCCACAGCAGCAGAAGTCGGCACAACCGAAGCCAACAGGATTCCAGGCCGCAACACCGAACTACTTCACCTCTGTTTCCGTCATGCAACCTCAGGCGGGAGTGTCTAACCATCGGCCAGGCATGCCATCCACCTCATCTTTTACATCTGTCACGTCGGGCGCACCTGCAGCAGCTAAACCTGCCGCATCCAAGCCCTCGAATGGCGACGTCTTCGGCTCTCTATGGTCGAGTGCCAGTGCCAGTGCTGGGCTGCAGAAGTCCAATGCAAATGCAAGCAAAGGGCCTAACCTGGCAAGCATGGCCAAAGAGAAGGCGAGTGCGGGCATCTGGGGGGCGCCCGCAACGCCCAGCCTTGTATCGCCGTCTCCTTCTCAACCCACTCAGCAAGGGACCAAGACCAGCAGCTCCGGACTGGATGACTTACTGGGCTAATCTGCCTGTGTGCGCTTATATTTTTTTTGAAGTTAAATTTCTTTTGTTCTGAGCAATATCTGCAATATTATTGCGATTTCACTGTTCTTCATTCCCATTTTAAGCAACGAATCATTGGTAGCACGATGCCAGACCATTCCTCCTCGATCTCATGTTTCAAGTTCTGTATATCCGGATGGTCACGATAGCTCTTTTATTCTTTGCATGGTGTCGAGGCTTGGGAAAATATTGATCTTTTTGTTATCAGGACCCTGTCAGATCAAAGGTTATTACTAAAAGAAACTTCCTACACGATGAAGTAATGTTTCCAGGCTGTTAGATGGCGTTCTATCTCAGCCCAACGACGGACTTTTTCCAGCAAGGCAACTTTAATAACATGCGCCGTATGAGGCGAAAGGGGAAAGAAGAAAAGTGTAATAGAGTAAAGCCTTTCCGTAAAAATGCCAAATTCCATCAATCCCTCGGAAAATACTCCATACCCTTAATTTCCAGCCAAGGGATGATCATAATGAGAGTCAAGACTCAACCCGCCCCGACAATCCTCGTATTCAACCTGCCCACCCTCGACGATCAGCACGCGCTAAGACACCCATCAGTCTGCACGACCAGCCAGCACGGTGGAGAATGCGATTGGGATCTCTGTCGATCCGTGCTTTGGGTATTGCGGTCATGGATACCGTCCCAGGGTCTAGCCAATTGTTGGGGTGACCGAGACCACTAACCCTAAGGTTAAGATTTCCTTGGGGTCGTATCTTGCGAGTCATAGACACTTTGTTCTTGAAGGGTTTAGGCTGAGGCTACACTTGTCTGGTACTCTACCGGGTTTTTACGAGAAGGTTATGTGTGGTGTGTTTGGGTTGCAGCGTCTCTCGTGTCATGTCAACTATCCATCCGTATATGAAGAACTCTATCGGCGTGTGTTAAGGGGTTTTCTTCGAGCCCTTCTCTCCTCTTTTTTATCTTCACATCGATACAAAACTTGACTCGATATAGTTCGACTCCCCATAATATGTACATCGATACCCTTTTCCCAGACGGGGTCTATCACGCTCTTCTCCCCCGAGCAACCTACGCTTCCTGCTGGGGAGGCATAGGACAAGGAGAATGTCGCGGCCAATCTGACTGTATTACCTCCCCTCCTCTCCCCTTGAAACCTCGATATTCCTGTGGAGTGTGTCAGAGGGCTAATCTACCTCAGGCAGAGGACTCGTCTACACAAATCAATGCTCTGATAACAAAGGTGACGAGGTATGACTCTCCATCAAGTCCCACCCCCACAAAGGAACCATATCCAACATACTAAGAGAAAAGACAACATAGTGCTGTCTCCAACGTCGCTGCACAGTCCCCGAAGGAACGGGTTACTGTCGAGACACCAATAACCAGACCTGTGATGGGGGCAATTACTTTGCTGGGTCGGCTGTACATCTCCCCTTTTCTCCCTCTATGCCATAGCTCCGTCTATCTACCATGCATGTTTTAGCAAACGATACTAACGATGGCGACAGCCCAACTGGCCTTGTCCGGGGATAAGCTCCATCCAATGCTGCGTGGCATACGAGAACATGTCAAACGGGACCTCGACAGCTTCCTCTGCCTCCTCCTCCTCCTCCTCCAGCACCTCCACTTCTCCAACTTCGACATCAAACTCCACTGCCACTTCCACAACACCGTCTTCCTCGTCGCCGACCACGTCAGCGACAGCACCAACTGCAGAGTCAAAACAAGGACTCTCCGGGTCTCAGATAGGAGGCATAGTCGGCGGTATTGTTGGCGCGGCGTTCCTCCTCGGGGTTATTGCGCTGTTTCTTTTCTTTCGTCGGCGGACGGGCCAGAGAGACACTCCACAGGAGGGTCCGGATGCTCAGGGACCTGTTTCGGAGGCGGGTAAGCTGGTGGTGGAGGAGGAGGTGGTGGGGAAGGATGTGCCGATGCTTGAGGGGAGTATGAGGCAGGAGCTGGATGCGCAGGGCGGGGCGGCGTTGCATGAGATGGAGGGGGCTAGTGGACGGGGGCTAGTCGGAGTTGGTGGTGAGAAGGGGGCTGGTGTGTCGGAGTTGGAGGGACAGAGGACGGTTGTTGCTGAGTTGGATGGAGCGTCTGTTATTCGGGGTTCTGGTGGGTGAACTGAGATGGTGCTTGGAGGCGAGGTGGAGTGCGTTTGACGTGTGTATATATCTTTCTTCTTTTTCCTTTCTTTCTTTCTTTCTTTCTTTCTTTTCTGTATCTATAGTATCTGGTTAATGGGAGAGTCCCGGGGGCTTGCTTAATGACATATGTGGTGGGTATGTATGTATGATTATTGTTGATATCTTTGTGTATAATTGTATATACTTGGGTGGTTCATGCTGGGTAGGAGAACATTCTGACTGCTACGATTCTCCGTTTAAGAAGAAGGGCTCAAAACAGACCAGGATACGGAACATTATACACTATATGAAGCTTTAACATACAGTGTCACTTATTCATTCAAGTGGCCTCCTTCAATTGCGGGGATCTGTTGAGTTGAGACGGAGGAACATGAAAGAATGAAAGTAAAGATCAGTAACAATATGAAGGATCATTAGTTCTTCCACATATACTATACTGGGTTCTCATTCCCGCCCTGAAACAATAATCAGATGATGTGTCAAATCTAATGCATTATGCGACGCCGACGCTGAAAAATACAAAGCATAAACATATTTACAAACCACAAAAACCTAGAGTCTGATGTGATGCTACCTTGCCAGCACTCGACGCCAGCAATGTCTTCTCGCAAGACAGCGATCAGAACATGCATGCACACTCCACCCCTACCATATAACCGGCTCAGCGGGTCGTTCCGCTGTTATCATATAGAATTGAAAGTTCCAGCCTGGGAACCGAGAAAGCAAAGAAATTGATGGGTTTTTGTGCCGTAGCTCGACCGTCTTGAAACACCCAAACAAGCACAGAAGGCATTCGCCCAGGATAGATCCAGGGGATGGGTTGGCTCTACCACTCCGCATGACAGGTCTTATTATGAGTTCCAGCGTATCTCCACAGAAATGGACACATCACGTCTTCATCGGAACAGCGACATGCTGTCCGTCCTGCTGTGTTTTCTCCGTAGTTTGCTTCACCGTATCAACCCCTTGTTCGTGGTCATCCTTCTTCTCGCCATTAGCGACATAGCTCGGGTGGTCATCCCGAGTTGGCGCCATCTCCTGGTGGTATTCGGTCGAATCATGGGTAGGGTGAGTGTCGTCCAACAATTCAGAGTCCGGATCACCGTTCAACGATGTCAGTCCCCCTTCAATGTCCCGGAGCAGCCGAACGAACTCTTCCGGTACCAAGCCACTTTCCCCGGTCCGCGGGTCTTCCGCAACGAGCCAACCTTGGCCATGCCTATAAGAAACGAAGATTACCTGGCCCTCTGTCAAGGGAAGTTCGTTTTCGTGTTCCCTAGTGAAGTCGAAAAGTGCAACCGCCTTTCCGTGCATTTCTTCATCCGGACATCCTACGGCAAACTGGAAGTCGCCATTGTACCGATCACCAGCATACCCATCCTCCGATTCGTATTCGACGTCAGGGCCATAGTCCGTATAGTCCCCATATGTCCCCGCATATGAGTATCGGCTCTCATTTACCGGGTATGTGACATACTCGCCGCCAGGGCCGTCGTCTATTTCATCCTCGTCATTCACATAGTATGTCTCGCTACCGTCCGCGTTTGTACTGACATACATCCCGCGATCAGTATCTCCCAAATAACATGTGGCCTCTTGGCCACTAGGGCTCCTCTTTCGCCCGCCATTCAGATCCGTGCCCGTGGACTTGTTCTTCCGGTGGCGAGGTGCCGAAAATACTGGACTATGGAGATCTTCATCCTCGCTATATGGCGGACCGTCACCGAACGACATAGCAGGAAGTTGTTGGTGCCCGTAGCTGTGGTCGGTGCTCCATGGCCCAGTTGACCACTGTCCCCGCGAGCTATCCCACGGAGCCGGAGGATCGGACAAGCGTCGCTGCTCACTCACCGGGGTTGACACCCCAGACGCACGTGGTGGCAATGGACCGTAGTGTAGAGGATGGGTTGATGGGTATGCGAAATCTCGCACTAAAGCATACGGCAAGCTGGAATGGAAGACGGGGAAGACATGCGAACCGGGACGCGACCGGTTTTGAGAGGCTAGGGAAACGTTGGAGAGCGTGGAAAGACGGTCTTTCGCATAAGAAGATGATCGCTGGCGAATGGGTCGCTTGACAGTGGCGTCCGTGACAATGGGAGGCAAGACCGCTAAGTTGGACGCAGAGTCATCCTGCTGCGACGGAGGTGGCAATGCCGTAGAAGTCATAGTTGTGGTCATGGATCTCGTCGGGGAAGAGCCAGCGCTGAGAACAATTGTGTCAGAAATTCAAGATGGGGTCAGAGAATTCGGATGTGATCGCTAGGGCAAATTTCGAAACATTTACACCCTAGTTTGGCATTGCGATCGTCCACCCACGACTCTACTATAACTCGGGACAGAAGAAGAATGTCTGTTGTCAACAAGCAAACGAGAGATTATCTTCACCAAATGAAGGGATGAGCCAGAGGAACTGCAATGAAGGGAGCATGCGACTCGGAGGGGCAGTGGTGAACTCCTTGCGTGCAAGCACGATCCGGGCTGGTGTTGCTATACTGTGAAGGCTGTGCTGGAGAGGTCTATACCAGGACACAGAGACAAGAGTCACAAAAGTGATAGTGGACACCAAGGGAGAGGCGGGCTCAATGGGGTCTGTTGACACACGCCTACAAGAACTGACAATCGGCGATAGGTGAGAGCGCGGCTATTGATCGTGAACCACCTCGGTATGGTTCAAAGGGTAACGTTCCTTTCGATGGTAAAATAGAAATTAAAGGAAACCTCCGAATCAGCGACAGGATTCGAGAGAGGGGGTCAGGAATATGGTGACCAATAACCAGTGGGTGCTGCAAAATATGCAGTTTCGAGTGTTTCGTCCCGCGCTTGCTGGTCGAGAGTAAAATGGGGATTCTAATTATAGCAGCAGAGCAAAGCGCCGCCGTCAGTGATGGCGACTATGGACGAAGTATCTATGGCGCAAACTGAATAGGAGAGCGTTAACGAGGAAAATTAAAAGTGTGCAAAAGAATATGTGCATGACAAGACCTGCAAAACAGGATAGGATAGAAATTGGACGGCGGAGGAGGGACCCAGCGTAGGAGAGGCTTGTCGGAGATTACTTACTCTTGAAGACTGGCCTTGAAGCGTTAAGGATCAACGAGGCGCAGTCGGCAGCGTTGTGGAGTTCTGCTGCCACTGGGAGATTAAAATTATTCGCTCACCAGGGCACCGACAGACGCAGGGAAATAGCTGCAGGGCAGACAAGCAATCCGGCTGAGGGTCTGAACAGCTCAACAGGACGTCTGGATCCCAATTGTAATCGCAATGCCCATGGCCAACAGCTTTGAGGCTTAGAGTTATTTTCTCTTCGATGCGGGCACGTGCACGTGACACCCGCTTAGCGTGTTTCAGAGTCAAGTGCCTTGAACCATACCTGATTGGCCTCCGAGTGCCTCAGGTACTGGCATACAGGACATAGTACATTCACCAGCCTCCTCACTTTGATATTCGAGTGGCTATCGCCACCTTGCCTTTGAAGACGAGGGAAAGTAAGGGAACGACTTTCATATTTTCTTTTCTATGGCTGGGGAACCTTTCCCTTTCTTTTAGCGCCACGAGCAAGTTTTGTTCTTCAAAGCAGGTTTCATTTATATTGCAAAACATTTGATTACAAGAACGATTGTATGTCAGAGACGAGAATAGTCAATTCCAAGTTCTCCAATAGGTCAGGCCTGCCTGACCGGGTCTTGGTCACAGAATAATTTGTTTGTATTTGTTTCACACCCATCGCTCGCCCAAAGAAACCAAATCAGCCAACCACCAGCAGAAGGTGAAATTCCAAACCTAGCCGCAAATATCCAAATGCAAGGGACACTTTCTGCATTCATCTTCACTGGGGGCTCGCACTAGCGGAACAGCCAGGAAATACGGTCTTCATCATTGTCACGAAGGATGTTACTGTTGCTACCCTCTGTGGCACCATTGGGTCTTGGACAAGCGACGTAGGAGTCGCTACTACGGTAGGTGAATACCAAGAGGTGCTAGATCTGATGACGGCCTGTGAAGAGCTTGACGCCACGGTTCCAGGACCGCTTGGTACCGTCGGAACTCCAACTATCGGCGAGCTTTGCGCGGAGCCAGAAGAAGCGCCAGAACCAAAGATGTCCGCAAGCTGGGCTGGGATGGCAGCGTTATTCAAGGATTGATCATTGACATAACTTGCCGCCATATGCGACTGGGCCCTTGCATTAGCTACCACATCAACATCAATGCAAGTTGTATATATTTCCTGCTTTCCTTTGGGCAAGTTCGGGTCTGCGCCAGGACGTGTAGGCCAGTCCCACACCCAATAAAGAGTGTATGGCTTCCCGGATGGTGCATTGGATGGCAGCGCAATGTCTGACTGACACCATAAATTGACACCCATTAACTGATCTGCGGTATGAGGGAATTTCGCTTGGCGTTGTTTTGAAATACTGTCGCCATTGACCTGATAGCAGCGGCCATCGTCGAAGTTTCGTGTTGCCAGGAGCACGCCACGTTTGTCACCTCCGGTACCCTCTTTATTCCATACTTTGTGCACGTCCATTATCTTCTCATCTTTTTTTGGCTCTGTTGTTCCGTATACGTATACTGTCCCACGATTCTCAGGCTTTCCCAGCTGATTCCCGGGTTGTGTGACATGGCCGTTTTCCTGGTACCGGAGGGCAATGGCAGCGCCAGCGCTTGCCTGCAGCCTTGGACTCCCTTCAGACTGTTCTTGCTGCTGTTGGGTATTCTTACACAGCAAATCAGTTGGAAGTAGCTCATTGCGACCGTCTGGGACCAAATATTGCATCTTAGTGTCGCTGTATCCAGGGTCAGAACGAAGTACGTTCCCTCTTGAATACCCTGGAGAGCCGACAAAGGTTCCATTCGGTGCGATAACCATGAGCTGTTCAACCCATGAGTGAGCGACGACCGGTGGGGTCAGGAAGAGGAGAGAAAGCAGTCCCAGGCTGCTTCTCCAGGTACTAAGTTTGAAGTCCATGCTTTGG